TGCAGTGTGGAGTGGAAAGTGTAGAGTGTGGAGAGTAAAAAGTATGGAGAGGGGAGTGTAGAGTGTGTAAAGTGTAGAATGCGGAGTGTAAAGTGTAGAGTGTGGAGTATGGAGTGTAAAGTGTAGAGTGTGAAGTATGAAGTGTAAAGTGTAGAGTGTGGAGTGTAGAGTGTGGAGTGTAGAGTGTAGAGTAGGGAGTGAGGAGTGTAAAGTGCAAAGTGTGGAGTGTAAAGTGAGGAGTGTAAAGTGTAGAGTGTGGAGTGTGGAGTGTAAAGTGAGGAGTGTAAAGTGTGGAGTGTAAAGTGTGGAGTTTGTAAATTGTAGAGTGCGAAGTGTAGAGTGTAAAGTGTAGAGTCTAGAGTGTAAAGTGGAGAGTGTGGAGTGTAGGGTGTAGCGTGTGGAGTGTGAAGTGGAAAGTGTAGAGTGTGGCGTGTAGAGTGTGGAGTGTGGAGTTTAAAGTGTGGAGTGTAGAGTGTGGAGTGTGGAGTGTAAAGTGAAGAGTGTGGAGTGTAAAGTGTGGAGTGTGGAGTGAGGAGTGTAGATAAAGTGAAAAGCGTGGAGTGTAAAGTGTAAAGTGTGGAGAGTAGAGTGTATAGTGTAGAGTGTAAAGTGTGGAGTGTGGAGTGGAAAGTGTGGAGTGTAAAGTGTAGAGTGTGGAGTGTAAAGTGTGGAGTGTAAAGTGTGGAGTGAGGAGTGAGGAGTGTAGAGAAGGGAGTGTGGAGTGTAAAGTGTGGAGTGTGGAGTGTGGAGTGGAAAGTGTGGAGTGTGGAGTGTGGAGTGGAAAGTGTGGAGTGTGAAGTGTAAAGTGTAGTGTGTGGAGTGAGGAGTGTAAAGTGTGGAGTGTGGAGTGTAAAGTGTGGAGTGTGTGAGGAGTGTAAAGTGTGGAGTGTAGAGTGTGGAAGTGTGGAGTGTAAAGTGAGGAGTTTGAAGTGTGGAGTGTGGAGGAGTGTAAAGTATAAAGTCTGGAGTGTGGAGTGTACAGTAAAGTGTGGAGTGTGGAGTGCGGAGTGTGGAGTGGAAAGTGTAGAGTGTCGAGTGTGGAGTGTAAAGTGGGGAGTGTGGAGTGTAGAGTGTGGAGTGAGGAGTGTAAAGTATAAAGTGTGGAGTGTAAAGTGTAGAGTGTGGAGTGTGGGGTGTGGAGTGGAAAGTGTAGAGTGTGGTGTGTAGAGTGTGGAGTGCGGAGTGTAAAATGTAAAGTGTGGAGCGTAGAGTGTAAAGTGTAGAGTGTGGAGTGTGGAGTGTAAAGTCTCAGGTGAGGAGTGAGGAGTGTAAAGTGCAAAGTGTAAAGTGTGGAGTGTAAAGTGTAAATTGTGGAGTGCGGAGTGTAAAGTGTAGAGTGTGGAGTGCGGAGCTTCCCCCATAGACACGGCGACGCCACAGGAAAACCAGAGACTCGAGACAAGACATGTGGATGCAGAGCATTTCGTACGAGACTTCCTCCAATTTTGACATTTTCAACACATGTCACAAAGTGCCACGCCTCTGCTTATTCGAAAAAGGAGCTTCCCCCATTCCGTGGATGCAGAAAAACCAGCATTTCGTGACATTTTCAACACATTATCAAACAGGTTGGAATGTCACAAAGTGCCACGCCTGCCACGCAAAACGACATGACAACCTGCTTGGAAACATTCGAAAAGGATAGGTTTTCCAGCTTCCCCCATAGACACGCGCGCCACGCCAGCGAGAGAAAACCAGAGCACTCGAGACGATGACAAAAGGACAAGTGCAGCTTCCCCCATGCAGAAAAACCAGCATTTCGTGCGAGACGTCCTCCAATTTTGATATTTTCCACACGTTATCAAACAGGTTGGAATGTCACAAAGTGCCACGCCTGCCACGCAAAACGGCATGACAACCTGCTTGGAAACATTCGAAAAGGACACGTTTTCCAGCTTCCCCCATAGACACGGCGACGCCGCAGGAAAATCAGCGACTCGAGACAAGACACGTGGATGCAGAAAAACCAGCATTTCGTACGAGACGTCCTCCAATTTTCACAGTTGGCAACATGACAAAAGGACAAGTTTTGCAGCTTCCCCCATAGACACGGCGAGGCCACGGGAAAACCAGAGACGCGAGACGAGACAGGTGGGAGCACCAAAACGAGCATTTCGTGCGAGACTTCCTCCAAATTTCACACTTTGTAACTTCAAAATCGACGTTTTCCTACGAGTTTTCCTTAGAACCCGAAAATTGGCAACCTCAAAATCGATGTTTCGTGCGAGGCTTCCGTCAATTTTCAGCACATGTCAGAAAATGCCACGCCTGCCACGGAATTTGCACCTTGTCACCACTTGACGCAGCCCTGCCAATGCGATTTACAAAAAACACGCCACAGGACGCGTCTAAAGTGCTGCGCCTGCCACGAAAAATGACGCTGGACACGTCCAAAGTGCTGCGCCTGCCACGAAAACTGCAACACATCTTCTGAAAACGACACAAAAGTATTGCGCCTGCCACGCAAAACGATTTTCAACACGTTGCAAAACATGTCTGAATGTCACGAAGTGCCACGCCTGCCACGCGAAACGAAGCAACGACACGTCTGAAACCTCCAAAAATGACCACCTCTGCAGAACTTCCCATAGGCACGGCCATATGGTCCTCGCACGGACGGTTGCGAACGGTTGCGAACGGTTGCGAACGGTTGCGGACGGTTGCGCTCGCGAACGCAACGTCGAGCGAACACACCCTCAGCCCCCAGACCCCCAGAGTGAAACGGGAACCCTTGCTACGCATTCGGGAAAAAACAAAAATAAGTTGTGGCTTCGGTTTACCACATTCATGGGGTATGCTCCAATGGGTAAGTATATTACCACAAGTAACCACTACTAATGACCATTGGCAACCACTGCTATGATAGTTACATCAATGAGGGGACCCTGGCTTGTAAATCACATGCAGCTGCTACTTGTAGCCTATTTTATGCATACCTTCAAGCCCTAAAATATCTGGCCGGGCCCACCACCTGGAAATGGTCAAAGCGGGCAAAGCCACGGGCCAACCACCAGTTGCAAGACCTAGTAGATGTACCAAACTTGAACTGGTAATCCATTGCCCCTGATATAAACACCTCTAGAAACCCCCAGTTGAGCATTGGATCTATTGGTTATTGGCGTTCCTCGCTGGCGATGAAGAACTTTGGGACAGGTCATGGAGAACAGAGGTTGCTAAACACAGTAAAGCTCAGTGAAACCGCTAGCTGATTGATCATCTCAGTTATAATTCTGACCTTTCACAAAACAAACTTGGGATAATTATGGATAACTGTCCAGTACTTCAAACATGGATTACATCCAGAATCAGCCAGGTGGTTCTGACATACTCCTCGCGGGCTGGCAGGCTGGGGAATGTCCATTGGATTGCTGAGTTTTTTTGGGGATGGCTCATTGGATTCATTGGATTCATTGGATGATAGAGGTACCTGAGTGGCATTTGCGAACTGGCTGGAGTGTTTCTTGGACTTCATCGAAGGTGCTGAGGAAATGTCAGGGATATATCAACTCAACGGTTGCTTCGGCTCGGAATGGTTGTTCAAACACACCCTCCGATAAAGGATAAAGTAACATAGTTAGGGAAAATCCCCCATATATAGATAGTTCTCCTATTCAGAATGGTCCTTTTCCATAGCTATGTTAGATCAACGGAAGGTACCAAAGGGGGCGCACGCCTTCATATTCGTGTTGAGACTGGAAGCAAGTTCAAATGGTTTTGTGCCAAAACCTAGGATGAAATCCGATACTCAGCGGGTAAACATACATGTTACACAATCGAACAATTGCTACTTTGATGTTCGGCAGGGTACCGGACTCTCCTTGCATATGGCTGTGGATCAAGGGGATGGACATGCATTGCTATTTTGAGGTGAACAGAGCTACAGGTTGTTGGCTACCCATATTAGTTGATACCCAATATTCACAAATTGCTATCAGCCTGGACCACTGGAGAAAGCAATGCTTCGGGCGTCCGCCATTTGTTGAACGTGCCGTCGTAGGACATTTCAATTTCATTCAATTTCATCATCGTTTCAGGACGCTATCAGCAGTATGAAACCTTTCAACCAATGGCTACTTGCATCACCAGCAAATGATATATTCCCGTGAGCGCCTCCTGAGGCTGCTGTATGGCCTCTCCAACGACGACATCCGCAAGCCCTCCATGGATCACGAGGACGCCTGCGATGGAGTTTCACACAGAAGCGTTTACACGCAAACACTTTCACACACAAAAACTTTTTACACACACACAAGCTTTTACAAATAGACACTTTTACACACAGAGACTTTTACACACAAGCGCTTTTACACACAATCACTTTTACACACACAAACACTTTTACACACAAACATCTTTACACAGAAACGCTCGTACACACAAATCCCTTTTCCTGCCAAAGGATTACTCCAGCACACGATCAATCGTAATTTTACCTCAGCTTTTGCCGATCGACCTTCATTTCGTGCGAAAGCGTTGCTCCAGCACACGAAAAATCGCAATTTTACCTCAGTTTTTGCCGATCGACCGTCATTTCGGAGTGATGGGTCTTCGTAACCCGTAACACGATGGCAGGTGTGCTACCCTTCACTTTGAGATGTCATATGATGATATATCATGGGATGTCATGTCAAGTGTCAGCTACCCTTCACTTTGACAGATACCCCTATCTAAAAGCTATGCCTCTCGGAAAAATGGAACTTGATGTGAACCTGATACAGCAACTTCGTGTTCAGTGTTAACCACAACTGGTTTTCGTTTCGGTCAGTTTTATTTCAGCCAAACTCTGGGAAGATAAAAAGCCAAGTGACTGAGATTGTGGCGACGTGGTAAAACCACCCAATTATGTTCTGGTTGGTGGTTTGGAACATTTTTTATTTTTGATACATTGGGAATAATAATCCCAACTGACGAATTCATATTTTTCAGAGGGGTTGAAACCACCAACCAGATGTTCATTTTTGATGAGTCCAAGCCCATTTTGTTGCAAAACCCAGCCAGCCATGGGATTCCAGCCGGCTCGACGCCAGGCGGATACTTTCTGGTGCCTGTCACAGCTACTCGCTGAAGCTCAGGCACCCCGGGGAAAGAGGAAAATGCCAGAAATGCTGGGTGTAAACCATCCAATGTTGGAGGCTCAGTGTTGGATTTCTTAATGGATATGGTGATATGGGATGTTAATGGAGAAATCGGATATGTATGGGATCGTTGTGGCAGATAATGATATAACGGGATATCAGTGGCTTGGGATGATGAACCCACAAGATTCCGGCTGGCAAAGAAAAGAAAAATCGACTTGAAGTTGAGCATCGCAAATTTGGTGTTCTATGTTTAGTTGACATCCAGCCCAGATATATACAGTATATATATAATATATATAAGTATTATATATATATGCAGATCAGTGTTTTTGGGGGGACCGCGCGAGGAGAATCTTCTGGGAGATGATGCCCTGGCCTTCCAGGCACCCTTGGCATCGGAAGCCATGGCCCATTGACTTCGATGATTTACCGGTGAAAAAATGGTGATTTTCCAATAGCAAACTGTAAACTTACCGGAGAGTAAAATCCGAAAAAAAAATGGAACATAGAAGAAAATCATAGAAAATAATGAACATAGAAGATTCTTGGAAGATTCCTATCTGTTGGCTCATCAAATCCTTAAAATTTATGGGTCACGAAATCCACCTATCTCAGCCTCAAGCGGGTCAGTGCAGGCTCGACGTGTCCATGAATTGCATCAAGCCTTTGACCCTCCGGTGGGGTATCCAATGCCAGTGGGAAAACCGTGGGATGGGAATGGCTGGGATTTATCAAACAATTGAGGATATATATATACATATATATATATTATATATTATATATCTATATATATATAAATATATTTATTATTATATTATTATTATATTATTATTTTATATTATATTATATTTTTTATTATATTATATTATGTTATATTATATTATGTTATATTATATTATATATTATATATTATATATTATATATTATATTATATATTATATATTATATATTATATTATATTATATTATAGCTACCCACCACAATGGGAATATATAACATTATTGGATATAATATGGGATATATAACCTATAACCACAATAGGAGTATTATGGGATACCACAATGGGAGTATTGTGGGATTACAATATCGGTTTATGATAGTCAGGAATAACTACCAACCACAATGGGAGTATTATGAAAATTGCAATATCAGACAAAGAACCAAGAGTTTGAGGGACTGAGCCGATTCAGCCACCAAAAACTAGGTTTGTAGTATGTAGATGGATTTCTACTCTGTGGGTTGCCTTGGGGGGTTGAGCAGCAGGTGTGGGATTTCAAGTAACTTCAACCAGCAATTGAGGGAAGAAATGTGGAAAATGTTCCTCGAAATTACAGGACGAAATGAACCCAAGTTGCGCGCCCTAACCCGACGTCCGAGCCAACAACGAAGATAAATGCAACTCAACCAGAGAGATGTTCAGCAAAAAATAACGCTGCAGATATTGGTATTGGAAAAATATGCGGATTTCTTGCAAAAAAAAATGTTAAACAAAAGGACTGGGCATTGCTCCAGTGATGAATACATTCGATCAATAAACAATCATCCATTCAGCCATGATATTCCCAAGATTTCCCATTTTTTGATGGGTTTCCAGGGTTTCCACCCCACCATCCCCCGTTTTTAAAAACGGCAGGTGGCCGAGCTCCTTGCGCAACATGGCCTGGGAGCGATCCCAGCCTTGAGGCGACTGTCCATTGATGGTGGTTTACGATTTATGGTGAAAATGATGAATGTATGATGGTTTATGTATCATTTATGTTCAATCTATGGTGAATATGTATCATTTATGGTGAATATGTATCATTTATGGTGAATATGTATCATTTATGGTGAATATGTATCATTTATGGTTAATGATGGTTGTATGAATATGTACAATCTATGGTTTAAAATGATGGTTGTATTCTGTTGTATTAATAATATTTGTACATATATATATACATGTATGTGTGTGTATATTTGTACATTGGTTGATCATGATTAATGGTTAAGAATGGTTGATCATGGTCAATCGGATGGTAATAATGATTTATAGTTCATCATTCTGAACAATCAGGATTCCATCATAGCAGTTGCTAATGGGGATTTAGTGGTGAATAGTTTATACTGGCTTTTCACGCTGGCTCTATAGTCATGGTGAACAATTGTTGATACATGGATTACCAACAAAATAAAGGCTGCAAAACGGGCCAAACCAAAAACTACCAGATATGGTTGAAAATTGTTCGTAAAGACTTGGCAATGTTTACAACCAAAACAGTACATGCAATGGTTGCTTAATAATGGTTTGTTTGGGGTGTGATTAGACACATCATGGTTAAGAATGGTGAAGCGTACAAAATGAGAGCGATCTTTGAGCCCAGTAAGTCGCAATATTGTTTGTTATCAATCCTTAGTCCAGGATGGGAATACTTTGGTGACCTTCATGGTCAATGGATGTCCCATTCTTTCTCGCTAAATCTGCTTGTTCCTTGTGGATTAAATCCGAATTGTTGCCACGTAGATAAAAACCTATGTTCGCCGGCTAAATCCTAATTTGTCGTGGTCATATCCCTATTTTTGGGGTTTAATCAGTCTAATCCCATTGTTTCCTTCTTAAGTCCATTTAAATCCCCATTTTTACTGGTGAAATCCCCCTCCTTTGTGGCGATGGCTTTCAGCTGGCCCCTGAAACCAGGCTGGGCACCTTGCTCCTGAGCCGCGCCGGCTTCACACTGCAGCAAGTGGTTGGGGAGCTCACTGCCTGATTTGGAATGGTGACAACCAGCCATTTTATGCAGGATGGGGCCCCCGTTCGATAGCGTTCAGTTGCCTGATAAGTGGCTGAATTCTATGGTTTCTGGTAGATCTAACTATACTTCATGGGGTTTATAACGGGTTTGTAAACCAACTTATAACTGGGGGGCACCGTCCTGTATGGCTATATAGCCATATAATATCAAATGGCGATATAATGGAAAAGAAATGGGTTATCAACAATTTGATGGAGATGTAATGGAATATGATCAGAGTTGCTCCAGCCCATTATAGGTCAATGATAGCCACTCTTGCGAGGAGGAAATTGTGATTCGACCTCTTCATTTGGCGAGTTTAACCTCCTAATATCTGGGGTGTTGGGAGCAACCCTGATTCAGATGATCTATTGATAAATTTTAGCTTAATTTTTACCTCACCAGTAAAAAATGTGGCTTTAACCGCAGCACAAATTGGGGACAAAGGGATGATCTTGGGAAATTTCATTGACCCCCCAACGACCTCACTCTAAAATGATGAATCTCCCCATTGGCGTAGTGGGACAATGCCACCAACCGTGGAGCCAGTGCGGGACCTGCTGGCACTACAATTGAAGATGGTGTGATGGTGAGAAAAAGTGGTGGGTCATTCATGGATCCGATGAAGAATTAAATTCCAGTACGGGAAGGAAAATTGGCCATGGAGTTCGCCAAATGATTCGGAACCCAGTTGCAACCCATTTATTGATCATCCACGAACGAAGCAATGCGTGAACCTCATGGCCCATCTAAATAAGACCCTGGAGATGAATATGTCGATCCAGGGTCATATCTCCCATGTTTTGCTGTTTGTTAAACCACCCTTTTTGTTGCTTAACTCTTTCCATTTGTGTTGGTTAGATGCCCCATTTGTGTTGGTCAAATCCCCCTGTTCGAATTTCTCTCCTCTCATCCCCGCTTGGCGCGCCCAAGGCCCGTCTCTGGGATTCCTTCTTAGCAGATCCGCAGCGTTTTGAGGTGGCGAATTCCGTCAGAAAGTTTACATTGGAGCGAGATTTCGTAAAAGTGGTGATTTAGAAGCTAGAATTGAGATACTAATCAACCAAAAATGGTGGATTCAAGAGAGTTAGCAGGAGTCAAGGAACATTTCAGCAACTTTCCGCATGTTGGAGGGCTAAAACATCACTTTTTGTTGAAGCAACATGTCATTAATTGCCCTGTTGGGTTGACAATTGCCAGGTTCCTAGCCATGTTTTGGTGGGACATTCCCTGAAGTTCTGATCTTAAGTCGACCCTATGTTACTACTGCAAACTTAGCTCCTGAAATATCTCCTGGTGACACCGACATTTCAAAGCAACACAGGGATTGAACCATGGAAAATGGTAATTGAAACGGCACAAAAATTGGATGTCACCAACACTACAAGTGGGTTTTCGCAAAAGAAAGGGGTAAAGGCTTAAGGCAACAAATCGAGTAGACTTTGGTGAAGGTGCCTACATTTACGGCATGGGGCCATTGGCTGGCAGCCACAGTCAGCCCATATTTCTTCGGTCGTATCCCATTGATTCCCATGTTGTGTGAAACCCCATGTTTGTCGCTTCATAACTGTTTCATTCCGGTGCTGCGGTGCTTTTGATCTGAACAAAAACCAACCAACAACTGCCTGGTTTGTGGTTTCATATTCTGTTTCCTTCCTAGTTGGGTATGAGTCAATGTAAATACCAAATCACCATGTAATTTCGTTGTTATCCACATTGACATCCCAACATGACCATTCTCTTCATGTTTGGATGTTCGCTAGGGTAGCCGGACGAAATGACCCATTGGCATGATTGGGACTTCAAGTGTAGGTATGGAGTCATTTTGGTTGATTGATGTTCAGCTATGTGTGTCTTTATCATGCATGTCTTTGTTTATTGACTTATTTTCTTCTACCTGCGTATTGTTTCTGTTACATGGACATCAAACCCCAAAAGATTGACAAGCAACATCCTGCTCAAGCATGTTGGTTGGTTGCTATATCATCATTATTAGAGTAGGGTGGTTATATAACAACATCTCTCAAAATTATATATTGTTATCATTATAGATCATTATGATTTTATTGTTATTATTTTTGTACTATTATCATTAGTAGTAGTAGTAGTAGTAGTAGTAGAAGTAGTAGTAGTAGTACTAGTACTAGTACTAGTACTAGTACTACTACTACTAGTACCATTATGTGTTTACTAATATGTCATTATTATGAGTAGTAGTATCAGTATTATTGTGATTCTGATTACTCATTTCTAACGTCTGTTTCGGTGCTCATCCCCTGTTGTTTTGTCGCTTCCTCACTGCAGTTTGCGGATCACGTGGTCCTGGCCTTGCTGATGCTGAGCCGCGGGGACCTGTTGCAGGTGCCAATACCACGCCATGGATTGCTATGGGCACCAGAAATGTGGAGTGCAGACATCCTCCAAATTTAAGGCGGAACCCAAAAATGTCGTTTTTTTTCCAATAGAAACCCAAAAATGTCGTGTTTTTTCTAATAGAAGAATCTTCCAAAGCCAATCTTTTGGGGTTGTTAAGTTTTGGAGGGAGCAACCAAGCAAAATGTTGATTTTGCCAGCAAAAAAAAAGGTTTACCAACCCACTACATGGAATGATTCCCAATACCCTGATGGGTTCTTTTGGAAAAACATGCAATGGCCTGAAATCTCAGAATGATCTCTTCTTCCCGGGATGGTGTCATGATTGTACTGTTTGCCAAAGATACCGAAAATCAGCATCATCATCATTTATTTGGACGTGTTGCCACATAGGTTCATCATTTTTTGTAGTTTTATCCCCATTTGTTGTCTGGATGTTTTAACCCAAAATTGTTGATCAAATCCGAATTTATGTTGTAAACTCAATGCCATGAACGTCCAACTGGGGACTGCATAAACCCATGTTCGGAGAATGGTGCGATTCTTTATCTTAAAAGATATGTTGGTTTAATCTTAAATAAAACCCTGAAAACGGATGGGTTGAATCCAGATTTAGAAACCCTTGGTTAAATCCCATATTGATTACATTGGTTCATAACCCCCATCATAGACAGTATGGTTATACCTACCATCAACGATTCCGCCAAGCCGTGTCCAGCGCGACAACGTGGGTGGCATCGCAGAGACCTTGCTGGCAGCGTGGCTTGGCCGAAGTCCCAAGTCACCATGGACTTTAATATTAAGTTACTACAGGATGGGGCTCCCAAGATAGCTAAGTTGCGTGAAAAAAGTGGCTGAATTCGATTGGGTTTATGGTAGATATGACTAGAATTAATGGGGGGTTATAACGGTTTATAAACCAACATATAACTAGGGGGCACCATCCTGTAAGTCATGATGTCATGGTCATCCATGACTTGGATAATTTGGGGGCACGCCCATTTTTTTAGGAGACCTCCATATGGCAAAATTGTTGATTATATCTCTGACTCTGTACGATATCCATTTTGATAACAACCCCTAACCTTTTGGAGATGGGAGAATGGGTTTTTCTCAAGGAAAAGAGTAGGATATAATCAACATGACTGATTCAGAGTATGATATTACTCAAAAATGATTACATCAATTGTTGAAAAAAACATACGGATATAACCAGCATGGAGGGGAGCTTAAGTGACAAAGAAAGGATGTGAATCACCAAGTATCACCAAATAGTGGGGTATCAACAAACGATGGACTGCTTGACCACTAGCAGGGGCGACAAACAGAAATATAAGATGAAAGAAACTTCAAATATGAGGACAAATCAAAAAGAAGCTGGGGAGACAGCCAGAAGTGAGTTTTATTCAACAGATTCCAACGCAAAATGGGAATTTGATGGACAGAACGTGGAATGTGAAAATCACTCAAAAAATGCAGCCACTTGAACTGTCAAGGACGGTAATACCTTAGAACCCAAAACGGTGATATGCAACAACGGAACTATGGGTACCATAAGCTCATCATCAACAGGAGGGCTGATGTCTAGTGGCTCATGTTGCTGTTTTCAGATGCCAATAATCAGCGGCCGGGGCGTCGGAACCTAGGCCATCTATTGTTGACTTTGAATTGCTGTTGCGCCGCGCGTTGGGGGTCCTGGAAATCCGTTGGGATGTTTGAATCTTGGGATTATTCTTCAACAAACAGTTCCATACAATTCCAATTACCATCTGGTTATGACTAACATAGCCATGGTATAGATGGCCCATAGAAATAGATGGTTTACCGATCTTAAAAATGGTGATTTTCCATGGCTATGGCACAAATAACCAGAGGGTATTGCATTTCCGCAGTGTATACGTTCATGTGTATATACTATTCCATTGCTTCCGGTAATTTCAGAATCATTCAGTCACGATGAGTTGAAGGAGGACCATTTGACTTGCCAACTGGTGCCTCGCACTTGTTCCTCAGCAGGTTCTAGGCCTTTGGATGACAAAAAGATGATCCCATTGGGTATACCGTGCATCACTGTTGGAGATCGCTATTCTTAGTTGGGCGTATCCTCATTGTATTTTTACTCCAAATTTATTGGGTTGAAACCATCAGCCAGTAACTCTGTCAGAAAAAGCATCTGATGTTCGTATCATCTCCCAATTTCTTGGTGGTTACGAAACCATCAGCCCAGTCTGAACCAACTGGGTTGGGTGCTGCCAGGTATGCCGTTTGTGCATTCCAAAGACGCCATGTCTGTAACTCAAGGGCTGGAGTCTGTTCGTGTCGGAATGCAGAGTTTGGCAAGGTGATATGTTGGTTTTGGCATTAGTGGCACTTCAATCTATTTTTTGTTCATTGATGATGATACCTTTATGGACAATATTCCTACATCTTCATTGCTTAAATCTCAGCGCTCGGTTCCAAGAATCGTGGCTGAGCCGGCTCGGTGGCACCACGCCTAAGGGCCCAGCGTCCTCTATGCCATTTCCACGACCGCAAGGTGCAGAGAAACATTGGGCAGAACATCCAGAAATGCTGAAATCGATCATGTTTCTCCATGTTTTTCCAGAAGGGATTTTCATGTTTCATGCACTTGTCTTGGATGGATTAAGGCTCTGATCTGAATCGAAAGTGTCGGAAAAGTTATGCGAAGCGTTTGTTTTCCGCTGGGCTCTAAGCCATTACAGGATTTTTGCAAGAGTGAAACCTTTGCCATTTCAAATTTGTTCAACCTCTGGACATGTATATGAGACTGAGCACCTAAAACTGGTTAACAATAGTTTACACAGACTTCAATCCTATTGGGATATTTGGCAGGTCTCGACTTCGACAGTGCTGTAGCAGTGCGGGCACTGAGCTCGGGTTTGGCACATGGCTTACCCATGATAATTTCTGTGCAATATAAAGCTTTGCAGAGGATTTTTACGGATTTTTAGCAGGTCGGAAATTCGATTTTCCTACTAGAGTTGGATTGATATCCATTTATTTTTGGCAGCCCTGGGGTGTTCAACCAGCTTCAATACAACACAGATTTCCCTTTCTTTTCCAAAATGAGCCCTAAATTCTGGTCACCATGGTATGTTCCAAAAGGTTCAGGAACCCCAAAAAATCCGCCAGTTGATGACTGGATGATCTCTTTCTGCACTTTGAGACGGGGAAACCATCGAATTCACAAGCTGTGAAAATGGCTGGGCCCACAACCCATAATTGGACAAACACATCTCATATTGTTGGGGGTGTGTGTATATATATATATATGTGTATGTATGTAATGTATGTATGTATGTAATGTAATGTAATGTAATGTAACGTAATGTAATGTAATGTAATGTATGTATGCATGTATATATATATATACATATGTATATATATATATGTATGTATATATATGTATACATATATATATATGTATATCCCACATTAGTTCCGCTACAATTATTGGTGCAAAACTCGCCATATCTTTGTTGGTCAAATGCGAAAAATTCATCGATTATGTACCATTATGCTGACTGTAGACTACATTGACTACATGATACTACTATATAATTATACTATATACTATATAATCATGATTTAGCCAGTATTGACCATTATTAACGACTGTTGCTCAACTCCCCCTTCGGACAAACCCATAAGTCCCACACGTAGACTGCGCCAGGCGGCGCAGGAGAGCTTGTCCTCCCTGTGGGGCAAGGTGCGAGGTTTTGGGAGGTAACCATGGAGGTTTATAGCTGGGAAAATCATCGAAATGGTGGCCTTTTTTAGTACTCATCCCAATTGTGGAACTCTAAGAATCGAGGCATTTCGTACATTTCAGTACTAAACCATGGTTTCTTGGTGTTGACACCAAAGCCAGCGACAGGTGCGTGCAGCGGGTGCAGGTTACTGGGAAGCCGTCGGAGGGCCTGGTTGGGGCCGGATTCAAACTTGAGGGAAGTAACTGCCTGGTTGGTGGTTTGGAACCATGGAATGGATTATGACTTTCCATATACTGTATTGGATTATTGGGAATTTCATCATCCCAACTGACGCACTCCATTTTTCAGAGGGGGTAGGTATACCACCGACCAGCTGCGACGTTGGGGTAGTTCTCTTCACTTCCAGAAATTCGTTGCTGCAGACGAGCAGATAGATCTTGAGAAGTTTGTAGGTCGATACTGAACGGCAGAGATGTGCAGATCTCAACGGCAGCCCATTTTCCCACAGCACAGTGCGACCGGGCGCGCCATGAAGGCTGATCCTCAGGCATCACTGGAGTGGTTAGGATTGACGTAACTGGGACCCAAAACAGCCGAATTATTTCTAGTGAATAGTCATACCGTTACACCAGATCATTGGGACCCCAGAGATTGAAGGACTACAATACCCTTTTTTCATAGTTTTTCATTGAGTGATACATTTTGGGATTGTTGGGTCATGTTGATTCGTATAGTGTTGGTTCCGCGGCACCATTTGCTTGGGATATTGACTGCGGTGCTGAATCCATCGGAAGTGTCTCATGGCAGTGGAAGTAACAGTGTTGTTTCATCCAACAGTGCTAACTCCCGCTTCAAATCGTTGTACTGCGTACACCCCACGTCATCATGTTCAAAAGATTTGTGTAAAGCCCTACCCCAAAAAACACTTGGAGGTTTATGGCGATTCCCACGGTTATCCCCACCTTCCACAGCAGTCCCAGCCAGGCCTGCCGGCGTTTGTTTGCCAAGCTCCGAGCTTTTCAGCGAGAGGGCCTGTTCTGTAGCTCGGCAGAAGCTGGGCAGCTTGGCTGTCACCATGTGACACCTAGGACCTGGAGATTGAGCCATGTGATTGAATATGGGTAGGAGACGGTAGGGGTACCGTTCCAAAAGAACGCTGGTTGAACAAAAGCAAAGACCAATTTTCGGGGTTCTTTGGTGGCCTATGTTTGACTTGCACTCACCTGTCCAAAGTTAACTTCATCACGACCCAGGTGATGTGGTGTTGCTGGGTGCTGGTCAAAGGCGCACCTTTCATGGCGCCATGGGGTCGATGCTGCACATGGAATGGGCCTAGAAACCCATCATGGCAATGTCAGGGAAGCACAAGGACGAAAGATGGCACTACAGGGCCGAGTTGCAAAGAACCCATTCTCCTTTCAATGACAAACCCCGTATATCCCCACGTTTATTAGCTGCATCCCCATGTTTATTGATGTACCCTCAGATTTGATTGTTTTATCCTCATGTTTGGTGGTTCATATCCCCACTGCAAGTGGTTTTCTTCCAAGCAACCCGTTTGAACAGTTTGAAAAAGTTGAAAACCTGGAAAATTATGAGGTACCCTCTGGGTAATTAACAGTTCGACCCTGGCAGTTGTTGGGCTTGGAAGATTAGTTTCCATTAAAACTAGGCTATGGATTCAGGGTCTATGTTAATTTACCAGAGGGTAAATATCATCTCCATCCTGGAAACCATGTTCCATCCTTGCGGGGAGCCCTGTAAGCCTCAGAGGCTTCCAGCCCATCGTGTGGTCCTGGTCGCAGCGGGTTTGCTGAAACCAGGCGCCGGAAACGAAGGCAGCACCCAAGAACTGCCAGGGCAGAACCAAAAGTGATCGATGGTAAGTCTCAAAGACTCTGCAGTGGTTTAGTTTATGGATCTGGAATTGACTTTCCTGAAAGTTGGGATGGTTCAAATATGCTTGCCCCAAAACTAACCATTCATTCAAAGCCAAAATGACCAACCCATCAGCCACCAGCAATTTCCAGGCGACCTGGCCGAGGAAGTTCGCTTCGTGGGGATCTCGAAGCACCTCTGACAGCATACCTCGGTGTTGCCAACCTACAGCCCCAAGCTGTCCAACAGGACCCATAAGACCTGTTAGAAAAATCATGGTTTCCTGTCATCCCAGGCAGCAATTGCTTTGCCTGATTGATCTGATCTACGCCGATGAGGGTGACGCTTTGCCAGCAGGCGTCAAGGGAAGGGATCAGTGGCTGTTGTTGGGTTTTACAAACACTATAGCAACCCCAAAATAGACAAGTTGGAAAGCTGGAAACTATGACATGGAAAAAATCATCCTGGAATTGAGTTTCATGGTTTTGGGAATTATTACACTTTGATACACTTTGTATATAGACATCGGGGCAATATGGGGATGTGGCCATGTTGATCCGAATACAAATCGGGTGTGAAAGAGTTTAGGATATTGTTATTGGGATCATTCTTCATTGCCAGACTAATATTAATGCAGATGGCAATGGAGATATGCTATTAGATTCTACTGTTGATGTGGTGATGGGGACGCATAGGGTAGGGATGAGTCAGTATCTATTGGACCATTTGGATGGGTGCATGAGAGGTGTCCGTTCTGCAGATGGTCCAATGCACCAGGGTCATATGGGGATGAGTCAATACCATCTCTGCACAACAGCCATTTTGGTGTTCATACGGCACCAGGGGTTTTGACCCGTGCCTGTGTGAACCAGAAGATACAGGGCACACCGCCAGCAAAGGTTGCGACACAAGCAGAGACTGTGATGTAAGCAGGATCCCATAGATCCAAAGACAACAAAAGACCATCAATTTCTGGTCATATTGGTTCTTCCTTTCCTACAGGAAAGCCCAGAAATTCGAGCTGTTTGAAGGATTCTCTCTGGTACGAATGGCTGGGATTGATCCTCCCCAATGGAAAAAAGAGACCACAACGCACCATTTTGTCGGTCTCACCATCCGGAATTATTTCAGATAATCTTCAGCAGAGGCTCGGTCATACAACCCAGTGGGGAATCTCCAGAGCATTGGTATCAAGAGACTGGCACCAGCTCCCGTTGATTGCGGATTCGCCAAGATTCTCGATATGTTTCCACCTTTCGGATTAGATATGTTTTTCTTCTCAGTGGTAAAGTGTTTGAACCCTGAAAAAATATGTTTGTGCACGGAAAATGTAATCAAAATATGGATATCACTGGCAAATCTCGCTGATCTGCAAATTCGAAAACCCAAAAGCACATGTGTCCTTTCTGAAACTAGAAATCCTAATTTTTGTTGGCAATATCGCGGGTTAAAAAAACCATCTGTGCAAGTGTTTCCCCAGCCCTCGTCTATTTGCCTAATCATAGAGCGATCCCCGGGAAGATAGAGAAGCAAAGAAAGTCAATTGCAAACAAGAGTACGACCAAATGATTAAATACATCCCACGTTTGATACTTGCTAGACATCTTGTTTAGTCATATCAGTCGTATCCATTTGGAATATGTTCTCATACAATATAAATATAATATATATATACACATTGACAATCATATACACAACATAAATGTAAATATGTACATATGTTATTTTACTATATTATATTAAATTAAACTATTTCATTTTATTTTGTTTTATATTAGATTATATTAATTTCTTTTAGATGATGTTCTATTGTACTATGTTTTAATATTTTGTAATGTATACGCTCGTGTCCATGTCAGCCAATCTCCCCATGGCTTCCAGGCCTCGCGGAGTGCTGCGCCGCCCTCGATCTGCCCGAGCCATCAGAGGCGCGCGCGGTGCAGCTTGCCGAGTCGCTCGGATGCAACGGCGGTTGGAAGGAAAACTTGGTTCCGGGGGTTGTACATCAGGAATCCATAAGTAATCTATTATTTACATATATTCTTATCTATTTATATGTATACATATCTATATATATACATATATATATATATATGTTTGTCTGTATGTCTGTGTGTAGTGTAATGTAATGTAACGTAACGTAATGTAATGCAATCCAATCTAATCTAACCCAATCTAATCTAATCTAATGTTTTCTTTTGTCTTGTATGTAAATACATATATATTATTGTTATTGTTATTATTATTCTGTATATTTTTATTTTTCCTAATATCTAGCTGTGCATCTGCATCCACATCTACATCTATATCTCTATATCTATATCTATATCTATTTTCATTTCTATTTCTTTTTCTTTTTCTATATCTATCTATTCATCCATCCATCCATCCATCCATCCATCCATCTATCTATCTATCTATATATATATATATATACAGATATCGGGGATTTCCATGATCCATTTTGGGATCAAGCAAGTCACTCGACTTAAGGGGTGAAATGGATTTACGCACATGAACAGAGACCCTGTCAAATGGGGGCTTGGAAAATTAGCTAGTTTCCAAAAAGATGTTACTATTTTCAGGGTCTACGTTCATTTGGGGGAGGGTAACTAAACAATCATGACAAAAATGGAGGTTCAACCAACAAACACAGGGGCTGGATATGTCATCGATGGTTTGGTTGGTGTTTCCGACATTTGTTACTTCCCATCCCTTGAAAATGGGATGATGATCCCACCACGTGTTCAGGATGGCTAAATCCAGCGACCACATCGTTCTACCGTGCGAAAATCCATGTAGTCCCAGATTTGTTTCTGTTGCCAAATTGAAGTGAGAGCTACATAGTTGTCCGGTCACAATCTTCGATTTTTTTTGTCATATCCATTCGTATTCTTCAACGTTTCAGTCATTTTCAACACTGGGGAAAGACCAAATTTAAGATTCTCCAGGGAATCAAGGTTGGTGATGTTCACTGGTAAACCACTAAACAATCCTATTTCGGGTTTCCTCATGTCTTGACCCATACCCAAAACATCAAGCATGATGTCTAGGTTCAATCCCGGTTTATCCCCATTTTTGTAGTCTATCTCCTATCATTTGAACCTTAGATCCCGATGTTCGTTGATGAAAAGATGACATGTTGTTCTGAAAAGACACTATATACTCTTCTGGGATTCAATCCCACAATTTTTTGCTGAAATCATCTGAAATCCAGATTTTTGCTGGCTGCAATCTTAATATTTGTTGAAATCCACATTTCTGATGTGAAATCCCCATTTTTCCATGGTTTCCCCATGGTTTCCCCATGGTTTCCCCATGGCCCAGACACCCGAGGCGCTTGCAAACCCTCCGCGGCGCAGAAGCCACATGCGACCTACAGCTGAGCACTGCGATTGGTGGCTGCCTATGGACGCATCGTGTGGTGCTGGCTGCAGGTGCTACGGGATGTATCACCCAAGGTGGGTTGATATATCAACTAATAAAAATTGAAGATTTAACATCTATATTTCACTTCCAAAATAGGGGATTTCAGCAAGAATCGAGATCTGACTTACAATCGTGGTTCCTTTGACCTCGTTTACCCTCAGAAGTGGATTTGATGAAGAAAAGATGAGACAATGCAGTGGGGCCGCAAAACCCAGTATGGCTTCATTCCATTTTGGAGATGATAGTGTGGCCAGGCAATGCAGTGCTGTGCGACTTCCTGAAGTCTGCCACACAGGATGCCCTGCGGCAAGTGGAAATTGGCTTTTTCCATGCGAAGATGTTCTGGAACTATATTCTAGATTAATCTATGTTGAGATATCATGGCTTTATATCCACATTAGACATGTAGATCTTATATTCTTTAGCAAAATCCAAGAACCAGCATATTCTGTATGGAAAACTTCTCACTGAAGCCCGCCGAGGACACGGCAGCGCCCTGCTACCAGCTGACCTTACAGGCCATCAATGACCTGAAAGCGCTGGAGGTGCGATATGGGCGACTCAAAGATCCGCGGGAGATTTACCACACCAAGTTGTGGCTCATTGGTGGTTTGGAACATTTTTCCCGAATGCGTAGCAAGGGTTTCCGTTTCACTCTGGGGGTCTGGGGGTTGAGGGTGTGTTCGCTCGACGTTGCGTTCGCGAGCGCAACCGTCCGCAACCGTTCGCAACCGTTCGCAACCGTCCGCGCGAGGACCGTATGGCCGTGCCTATGGGAAGTTCTGCAGAGGTAGTAATTTTTGGAGGTTTCAGACGTGTCGTTGCTTCGTTTCGCGTGGCAGGCGTGGCACTTCGTGACATTCAGACGTGTTCTGGAACGTGTCGAAAGTCGTTTTGCGTGGCAGGCGCAATACTTTTGCGACGTTTTCAGAAGATGTGTTGCAGTTTTCGTGGCAGGCGCAGCACTTTGGACGTGTCCATCGCCATTTTTCGTGGCAGGCGCAGCACTTTAGACGTGTCATGTTGCGTGTTTTTTGCAAATCGCATTGGCAGGGCTGCGTCAAGTGGCGACAAGGTGCAAATTCCGTGGCAGGCGTGGCATTTTCTGACATGTGCTGAAAATTGATGGAAGCCTCGCACGAAACATCGATTTTGACGTTGCAAATTTTCACGTTCTAAGGAAAACTCGTAGGAAAACGTCGATTTTGAAGCTACAAAGTGTGAAAATTGGAGGAAGTCTCGCACGAAATGCTCGTTTTGGTGCTCCCACGTGTCTCGTCTCGAGTCTCTGGTTTCCCTGTGGCCTCGCCGTGTCTATGGGGGAAGCTGGAAAACATGTTCTTGCGGCATGTTTCAAACTATGAAAATTGGAGGAAGTCTCGTACGAAATGCTGATTTTTCTGCATCCACGTGTCTTGTCTCGAGTCTCTGGTCGCCGTGTCTATGGGGGAAGCCGCAAAACCTCTCCTTTTCGAAGGTTTCCAAGCAGCTTGTCATGTCGTTTTGCGTGGCAGGCGTGGCACTTTGTGACATTCCAACGTGTTTGATAACGTGTCGAAAATGTCAAAATTGGAGGAAGTCTCGCACGAAATGCTCGTTTTTCTGCATCCATGCGTCTCGTCTCGAGTCTCTAATTTTTCCTGTGGCGTCATCGTGTCTATGGGAGAAGCCGCAAAATCTCTCCTTTTCGAAGGTTTCCAAGCAGGTTGTCATGTCGTTCACCCCACACTCCACACTTTACACTCCTCACTTTACACTCCACACTCCACACTCTACACACCACACTCTACACTTTCCATTCCAGACTCCACACTCTACACTTTACGCTCCACACTCCACACTTTACACTCCCCACTCTGCACTCCACACTTTACACTCCACACTCCACACTTTACACTCCTCACCCCACACCCCACACTTTACACTCCTCACTCCACACTTTACACTCCTCACCCCACACTTTCCACTCAACACTCCACACTCCACACTTTACACTCCACACTCCCCACTCCACACTTTACACTCCTCACTCCACATTTTACACTCCTCACTCCTCACTCCACACTTTACACTCCACACTCCACACTCTACACTCCTCACTCCACACTTTACACTCCTCACTCCACACTTTGCACTCCACACTTCACACTCCACACTTTCCACTCAACACTCCACACTCCACACTTTACACTCCACACTCTACACTTTACACTCCACACTTTACACTCCACACTCTACATTTTACACTCTACACTATACACTCCACACTTTACACTTTACACTCCACGATTTCCACTTTACACTCCACACTTTACACTTTACACTCCACGATTTCCACTTTACACTCCACACTTTACACTCCACACTTTACACTCCACACTCTACACTTTACACTCCACACTCCACACTCTACACTCCACACTTTACACTCCACACTCCACACTCTACACACCACACTCTACACTTTCCACTCCTCACTCCACACTTTACACCCCTCACTACATTCCACACTCCTCACTCCACACTTTACACTCCTCACTTTACACTCCACACTCCACACTTTGCACTTTACACTCCTCACCCCACACTCTACACTCTACACTCCACACTCCACACTCTACACTCCACACTCTACACTTTACACTCCATACTCCACACTCTACACTTTACACTCCACACTTTGCACTTTACACTCCTCACTCCACACTCTACACTCTACACTCCACACTCCACACTCTACACTCCACACTCTACACTTTACACTCCGTACTCCGCGCTCTACACTTTACACTCTGCATTCTACACTTTACACATTCTGCACTCCCCACTCCTCACTTTACACTCCACACTCCTTACTTCACACTCCACACTCCACACTCTACACTTTCCACTCCACACTGCAGACTGGTAACAAGGGAGACATGTACAAGACTGTTCAATTAATCTATTGCAGAAAGGTATTGTGCGTCACTGCATAACCATGTGTTTTGATACTGTACCATTAACATACGTGTGAGCATTCGGGTTCGTGGGCTTCATCTTGTTTCTTTTTTCCATATATTGGGAATGTCATCATCCCAACTGACGAACTCATATTTTTCAGAGGGGTAGGTATACCCCCAACCAGGTGGGTTCACGCAACAAAATCGCTGATTTAACCACACGAAATGGTGGATTTAGCCAAAACTAAGGATTTAACCAGCAAACCACACCAATAAAAAGGGATTTGAGCAACCAAAAAATTGCATTCAAGCAACAAAAATGACGATTCTACTACGAAACAAGAAAACTTGGGATTTGATCGTCAGACATTAGGATGTGTGCCGCCAATCATGGGGGTTAAAGCCAGCCAAATCAGTTGGATGGTTTGTTCACAACCCAACATTGTCGCCCCATAAATGATTTTGATAAAAAAGAGGGTAGGCATCAGTTTGATTGTGTTGCAAATCAGGTTTGGGAGTTATTGTTGATTCTCCCAGCTGTTGCGGCTTTGCAGAAAGATTGGGATATACAATGGTGAAAGGGCCATTAAAAATGCCAGATTACCTGCAAAAGGTGGGAGAACTGGGAATCTTGCAGGCATGTTCGACGAGAGGGGAACAAGCCATTCTGCTACATGTTTCTTTGTCTATTGATATTGCTTGGTTGCGATATCCCTCATGATTGATGTGATTGCTCATGTTTCAGCACACTTGTAGCAAGTCCTGGGAGACCTACGGTCTAGAAAGGGCTCATAGGTGACAGCAACTTTTCTAGCAGGAATTGCTGCCAATACACCAACTGCAAGAATTGGTGTGGCCACACGCTTTCAGCTCGGGGTATTGTCGGCCGACACCTCAAACAGTAGCAAAAACAATCGATAAGCAGCAAGGAACCATTTGCAGCTTTGGTAGTGATATTCACCTGGAAGATTTGCTGCTAAATTTGCTTAAGTAGTGAATGTACTAGTAAAATTGTTTTTGATTTACAAATCATATTCATCTTAGTCTTAACGACTTACCTATTGATTTTGATTGTGACTAGGTAATGGTCAATAAATGGTTACCTTTTCAATAGATGATTTGGCCATTTATTTATCAGGTTGAAATTGTCACGAGGAAAATCCAGTTCTTATTTCTCATGATCAATAGTTCGCTGATTTCCCTGAATTCACTGTGGATAGTGAATGAATCAGGTCCTGTTTGATTGTTCAACAATAAATCCTTATCCCAATCATCAAATAAATGGAATATATGGAATACTTTCTTGACTTCTTCGAGATGTCATTTTTTTACAAAAATAAATGGATACCATTGCCTAAGGACTTAAATGGCATTTTTCTTGCCTATGCCTATTATACCTATGGATGTTCAACTTGAAATCAGGATAGAAACCCCGCCGATACCGACTGACAGGCGGCGATCACCTCGGTGTATCTGGGCACACGGATGCCAGGTGCAGAGCTCCCAGCGTATCCTCAACGGGGAATATCATGGGAAATTATGGGATATGGATGTTACAAGATTGATTTTGTGTTGATGTCCTTGAAACTTTTACATATGGATATAGCAGTACCCAAAAAGATAGAAAGGTTCAATGTGTCACTATTTTTAGAGGAATTTACTTGTGTATCTTGTTGGGTGTTGCTATAATTGTGATTTGCTGATGTGAAATTGCAGTAATTTGCCGATGATTGTAATTTTGTTTGCTGATGTTACACATATTACAACTGGTTAATTGTAATTTGCTGGATTTTGGAAAAACATCATTAGATCATGCCCAATGTTCAGCACCATACCCTCTGGTAATTTAACATAGCCATGGAAAATCACCATGCTATTAGTGGGAAAACTCACTATTTCTATGGCCATTTTCAATAGCTTTTTGTATGTTTACCAGAGGGTAACTGTCGGTTGATGCCATATGTGTTCTACGATGGGAACCCCGTAGCACCGTCAGGAGGACGGTGCTCCAGCGATGTGGCGTTGCTGTGCAGCGACTGGCAGTTGCCAAGGTGGATCCCGCAGGGTCACGGCTGGTAAAAAGATGTAAAAACTGGTGGTGACTGGAACTTGGCTTGTTACTGGGATATTCCATGGTGTTTTTAATGGGATATAATGGGATATAATAATCAATAATGGAACTTTGGAAGATGGTTGATAGTGGTTAATAGTGGTTAATAGGCTATAAACCAACAACAATGGGAATATGATGATGATCTGGTTGGTGGTGACTGGAACCATGGAATTTTACGACTTTCCCATCATATTGGGAATGTAATCATCCCAACTGACTTTCACTCCATCATGTTTCAGAGGGGTAGGTTGAAACCAGCAACCAGAAAAGTATTGAATCGCATTGAATCTATTCGTGAATATTCATGAATTTGTGTCCCAACTATTGGGGGGAATGTTGATGTTTGTCCTATCTTTGCGGGATGGGGAATGACAAAGGTATCATCCCAAGTTATCACCGGTGAAGCGGTGAACGCGTAACTTTGCCCCGTGACCCAGCTGTAGGACCTGACTTGGAGGACTCTTATCTGGCAATGTAAAATTGTCCATTGATGGATGCTACAAATGGGTGATTGTTCGGTGCCAAGCTAGATTATTGGAGGGTGGACATAGCCAAATTTGGAACGCCGTACTGCTCAGGACCTTTTCACCTTGGTCATTACCCAAGCACGCAGCTACATTAGGAGTTGATGAGATGATATACCCACTTGATCACCCCAGAGTTGCTAGCGCTTTGATTGTCCCCGCACCTTTTGGCTCTGTATATTCGATGGTGATACGCAGATTTCATGCTGACATACATCCAGATTCATGATTCTTTGGCACAGCTATGAGTCAATATTTAAACAATTTAAACCCAAGAAAGACAGATGTTGCTTGTTTTTTCATACGTCCCATCCATATTTTGGCACCTCCAGGAACGGGATGACTGACTGAAATACCCAGGGTGTCCCCAATTTAGGCTAACAGGGCCTGAGACCTATAGACTTTCCCAACCAAAAACAAAGCCCCACTGCACCCAGCCACCTCCAACGGCCAGATCCATATCTTCTGCACGCGAGTCTGCACTGATGCCCTTTGCCGATCGAGGTCTGGGGTGTGGATGCCTCAATGGCCATGGGATCTTAGGGGTACCCCATTAGACAAACTCATGTGATTTTGTACCGAATGAAGCAGAATATTGCGTTGTTGCGGGATATATTGTCATTGCTGAAAATTGAGAAGTTTCAAAATGTTCCATTGCATCATCTACCTTAAAAGAAAGTCTCTACTGCTTATTCTCGGACGTGCCAATTGATCCTTGAAAGCATGGAGATGTTTGACCCGGACCTAGGATGGCCTGCAATCCGGGGTTTCAACCTACTGGGTATAGAATTCCTTTCGTGACAAGGACGACTTACAGTTTGGTGATGTCAAACTAGGATCCTGAAATCATGGTCCCGCAATATGTGTAAAACCAAGAGTTTGCTGCCCAAATCTTCCAGAATTATATGCACATCATTGCAAATGATCCAAATAAAACCATCATTTTTGGGAAGTTAAAAATAGTAAAAACTATCCAAAGATTGTAAACTCCCAAAGACGGTGCCAGGCCTGCCCAAGAAGCGCCCTCCTCCACGCAGCTGGTCGCCACGCCGTGAGGTGCGTGAAGTGATCAGCATCAAACATGGGATAATGGGCATCTAACTGGCAAAAAATGGAGCTTTAACCAGCGAAAATTCGGATTTGAGCAGCAACAACTTGAGATGTTCACCAGCATTTTTGGAGATGTTCACCATCAGAAGTTGGATTTCTCAAAGTTTGAATTTTCACCAGAAAAAAGTGACAAAAATCACGTGGCTCATGGGATTTCATCAGTCGATAACCCAAAACTCTAAATCGGGACCATGGGGATGCGATGTTCCATTGCCGTAGAGTGCCAGAACAGGCAAAGAACACTGGGATAATCTGGGATAACCACCAAAATGGAATCCAGTACTGGACATCAGGTTTGTTTTACAGCCAGGTAGACCAATTGTTTGTAAGTTATGCTGCTATTGGCATCCTGATATTTATGAGGCCTGTACAACCATCATGGTTTGGCTCTGTGTTTGATGTACTATGCGTTCTTTCTCAGCCTTGGAGAATCCATACAAGTACATAAATGCCATTTCCAATGGTGGAAATCCTGCCCTTCCACCTGGCGATCCCACCTTTCACCTTGGGAATCTCCCCAGCTGTACATGATGAACCGGCTGACCGAGATTCCATCCCACATGGAGATGGATCAATCCACCTCTTCCATACTTTGGGGGAGGAAGATCCATAAGTCCCAGCTACTTTGCAGTTGGGTTTTTTTCATGTTTTTTCCTGACTACCCGGTAGTCCATTTTTCCAGGCCGCAAGGGCACCCATTCCGCCAGTGAAGAAAGCTGCAAAGGCGGGTGTTGGAGAAAATTGCAGGGCAGGTCCATCGCCATGGGATTTTGTGGTACCGGTAGCCTATTCTCAAGTCCCAAATAGCCTCTGGGAATCCAACATGACAATGGAAAGTCACCGGATCGCATACGATTCACGTCCGATTGGTTGTTCCTCCAGTCGCTTCCGAAAGATGTGCCTTGAAATCTGAAGGGAAGTTCTTGGACAAACAAGAGTTGGACAAACTCAACCAACTAGAACTGGTTGGTGGTTTGGAACCATGAAATTTTATGACTTTCCATATATTGGGAATAATACTCCCATTTGACTATTTTTCAGAGGGGTTGAAACTGCGAATTGCATATTCCCTATTTAGCATTCATGTCATGACTTTGCAATTGTCATTTCAATCAATGGGCATTTCACCATAGCCCTTTTTCCAAGCTCAAAGATCGGTCGGAAGACCGGTCAATCCAACGTGAAGGACTTTGGAAAGAGAGTTAAAAGCGCAGGACCACTTGTCTGACCGTGGAGGACTTTGTGTGTCTAACGCAAGGAGTTTGAGGTGTGGACTAGTACCTGGCTTTTCTGGCCGCAGACGTGTCAGGACTGTCAGTGCTAGTACCCCCCGATAATATTACCCGGGTGAACCTGTCGCGAACAGGTTATGAGCCCAACGCATGGGGACTCTGCTGAAATGATGCTCAGAAGAAGAAGGTCTGAGCCTGATGATGAAGAGTCAAAGAAAGACCAAACAGCGTCAAGCACCCGGGCAAGCGCGAGGAACCAAGGGGCAGAGATGGCTCTAGTGGCAGTGGATAGGGAAAGGGTTGGAAAGCCTTCACCAAATGGTCCTGTTGGGGAAGATATGAAAACCCCCTTGCCAATAGAAGACTTTCCAGCAGAACCTGTAGGATCCCCTAAGGCCCTAGGACCTAGGAACCTCCAGCCACTGTTCAATGAAGCTCAGCTAAAGAAGGCTGAGGAGCTCAGGTTGAGTGCACCACTTTTGCAGGGCCCAAGCCCCACCGCAGTAAGCCAGTCCACCGGCGGATGGGATGGGGGCTTGGCGGCAGGGAAGGTGGGAATGGGGAAGGAAGCTGACATGTCAGAGGGACCATCAAGGAAGGGTCCGGAAGTCTTGATGATGTCACCAATGGGATATCCCTTAGCACCTCAACATGGTTATGGATACGTGCCACACCCCACACAACAAGGAATGTTTGATGAGATGATGTGGCAGTTTCGACAAGAAATGGGACAAATGTCAAAGTCTCTCACCCAGCTTCAAGAAGAAAATTTGAGGTTGAGGATTCAGCTTATGGAAGAACGAGAGACTAGATACACAACACCTCCCGATGTCACTCCTGCTGAAGGTCTCCGTGACAGCGCCCGCCGTCAGAAGGTTTCAGGAAAGAAGCCCAAGTCCAAAGGTGTAGAAGCCAAGCAGGAAGACTTTGAAGCTTCGAAGCCAAAGGAGGCTGCAGGTCGAGGAGAACAGGAGGCTGAGACCCCCAAAGCAGAGGAGGAAGTGATTGGAAGGAAGCTTGAAGAAGTTTCTAAGGAGGATGGTCCAGCTGGACAGCAAGAGTCCAGTGAGGAGAGTCAATCGATTCAAGAAGAGGAGTCGGAAGATTCAGTGAATCTGAAAGATCACAAAGGAAGATCAAAAAAGGAGGACACCACAGTGGACGTGATGCTCAAGTTGATGCAAGGGATGCAATCGCTGCAACAACAGCTCTTGGATCGAGAGACGATCAGGGGCCGACGGCTAACAGAGGACGATGAAGAGGAGCATGTGAGGAGCAGTGTAGAGCTGCACAAACTGCCGGAGTGGACAGCTGAGAATGCTCCGGTGGACTTACAGGGCTGGTTGCTTCTCATCCATGCACAGATGTCGGATCTCACTACCAGCAGTTCAGAATGGTGGGATCTAGTGGTTGAGACTGCGAAGGACTGGTACCACAAACACCAAGCCATGAAGCCCATCGACAAGCTGAAGCATGAAGTCACGGCACCACCGCAACTACAGCAGAAGAAATGGAGAAGGTTGGAGAAGAGAGGAAGCAGTTTGCTTCTTCAGGCCTTGCCCAGTAGTCAGCGTGATGACATTGTGGCAGGGAAAGACCTTTCAGTGTTGGCGATTTTGGCAAAACTCCTCAACAACTACCAGCCTGGTGGTTCCCATGAAAAAGCAGCAGTGCTGGCCGCTTTGGAGCTGCCGGCAGAAGCGGTGGGGATCGGCGAGGGCATCCTGGGACTACGTCGTTGGTTGAGATGGAAGAAAAGGGCAGAAGACATGGGCCTTCAGTTGCCCGATCCATCGGTCCTTTTGAGGGGCCTGGACCGGCTGGTCTCCAAGATTTTGGCTGGCAATCCAACCTTGCAGTTTCGCATTAACCTGACGAGGACAACACTGATGGTGGATTCTGTGCCCACTATGTCTTCCATTGACCAGTTGGCCGAATGCTTACTGGCTGAGATGGACCAGGTCTCCTATGCCAAAAAGAAGGAAAAGGCAGCCATCGCAGGAGTTCCTAAAGCTCGGAAGATGGAGGAGGCAGGAAAAAGAAGCGAAGTGCCTCAAGCCAAGAAGGGCGATGAGGGTAAGAAGGAGATGCCAAAGTGTAATTACTTCCTGACGGAGAATGGATGCCGTCGAGGAAAAGCTTGCAGATGGGATCACAACCAGAAGGATGACCAGCGTCGCTGCTGGAATTGCGGGTCCACAAAGCACTTCTCCAACAAATGTCCAGTGAGTGAGGGCCAAGGAGAAGTCAAAGTGGCCAAAGCCGAAAAAGATGGCGAAGCCAGAAAGAAGAAGAATGATGAGGAGGACAATCAGTCCGACCGAGCAGTTGCTGGAGCGGACGATATGAAGAGTCTACTGGAAGAAGCTGGAAAGATGCTGAAGGTGATTCCAGGAGCTTCGCAGGAAAGCTCATCGGTTGAGGAGACCGGTGATGCCAAAATCAGGAGACTTCAAAGACAGCTGGATGAGCTTCGAGCTTCTTCGGTGAGAGTGCTGCGATTGGCCAGGGTCCAAGCAGCTGTGGAAGATTTGGGACTCCTTGACAGCGGAGCTACCCATCCTCTTCGACCTCCAAAGAAAGATGAGGATCTGTCCAAATGTCAAAAGGTGAGGATCAATCTGGCCGGAGGAAAACAAACAATGATGATGCTTTCAGAAGGTGGTGCCATCATAGGCTCTGAGGATGTGGAGCCCATCGTGCCACTGGGAGCGTTGGTGGAGAACTTGGGTTGCTCTTTGCAATGGACCGAAGGCCATATGGTCCTGTATCACCCCTTCAAGGGGCAGATTAGCACCCAGCTCAAAGAAGGTTGCCCGATGATCAACAAGTCTGATGCTTTGGAGTTGATCGAGGAGTTGGAAAAGAAGGCACCCGAGCTGAGGAGGTAGAAGGATCCGCAGCTGAAGCCTACATGCACTGGATGAAGCGCTTGGTAGAAGAACACCCAGCACTTCAAGGAGTTCCAAAAAGAATCACAGAAAGGTTGGTGATCAGCCCTAAGGAAGGACATATCACCGGAAACCGAAGCCGAAGAAAGCTATGGAAGAAAGAAGGAGGTGTGACGTTGTACCTCTACTCAGGACCCAATGAAGGGTACACTATGGCCAAGGCCATTCAGCTTCTCGGAGGAGAAAAAAGAAAGGTCATAGCGGTGGACATCAAGAACGGAGCCAAATGGGATATGATGGAGGATGACCTCTATGCTGAGCTCATGGACATGGTCATCAAGGGCCAAGTGGAGTCCTTGGTGATGTCTCCAAATTGTCGCACTCGCTCAAAGCTCCGACACTATGAAGTTGAAGGAGTTGATCTTCCTGGACCGGTCCGAGAATGGAACGGTGGAGAATGGGGAAAGAAGGGCATCGGAGAAAGAGAGGAGAAGAAGTGCCATGAGGATGATGTGATGCTCTTCAGAGGACTCATGCTCTACATGGTTGCCCAGGAGATCAGGAAAGCATCCCGCCACACCAAAGACATCGACCTTGTCTTTGAGCACCCCAGCACCCCGGCAAACATGCCACAGGTGGTATCGTTCTGGTCCACCCCCCAATGGCAAGCACTCAAGCAAGCATACGGCCTGTGGGAGATCCACTTAGACCAAGGGAAGCTTGGAGGAGGAGGGGTCAAACCCACAACGTTGGGCGGCAACTTGCGCATGCAAGTACCCAGCGTGGTCGTACCAGCACCACAACCTCGATGCACACATGGCAAAACAAAAGAGCAGATAGTGCAGGAATCCCAAAACCTTTCCAGATGGGTCCCTCTGCTTACCGACATGGTAGCATGCGCCCTGCTGGAGTCCCAAGGGATCACCCCGAAGTTGAGATCCTGGAGGACACATGTCCAACGATGCCACCAGCCTTTCAGAAAAGACTGCAAGGTATGTCAAGAGGCTGCAGCAAGAGCGAGACCTCACCGGCGTCAAAAACTTCCTCCAAGAGCTGGCGTTCTTTCGGTCGACATCGCCGGACCACTCACCAAAGCTCCAGACCTGGGCAAAGACCATGCTCGTTTTGTCCTGGTCGCGGCGTTCACCTGGCCTACAGGCCTGAAGGGTGACGACTTAGAAGAGTTGCCCGAGGAGGATGATGAGGATGATTTCCCAGGCTGGGAAGAAAATGAGGAGAAACCAAAAGAAGAGATAGGGTCCCAAAAGCCAGGAGCCAAGAAGCGAGGCAGGCCAAGGAAGAAAGACCCTGAGGAGGAGTTTGAGGAGCTGCTGAGGAGAGAGCAGGAAGAACAGAAGCAGAAACGGCAGAAGGAAAAGGAGGCTGCAGAACCCCCAGGAACTGAGGAGCCCTTAAAGGAGGCCGCAGAACCCCCAGGAGTTGAGGAGCCCTTGAAGGAGGCTGCAGACCCCCAGAAGAAAGATGATGATGAAAAGGAAGGGGACTATGTGACCCGGGTGGCGCCCGATGTTGAATATGAGCCCACTGAACCGGGCGAAGACCCTTTCCCACAGGTGCCAGCACCAGATGTCCCTGAAGAGCAACAGGCACAAATACAAGTGCACCGTTTGGCATTCCCCTTGCCAGACAAGAGAGGCATCACGATCTTGAATGCCCTGATCGATGCCTACCTCACCTTGAGGAGTGAAGGCATGTTTGTCAACCAGCTCCACTCCGATTTAGGAGGTGAGTTCACTGGAGCGTACATCGAAAAGTGGTGCAAGGAAAGATGCATCCTCACAACAACAACCCCAGGGGTATCCCCTCAAACCAACGGCCGAGCAGAAAGGGCCGTACAAGCAATGAAGACAGAGACGAAGAAAATCCTGCGTGGCGCGCAGGTGGGTATCGAATGGTGGCCGATTGCTGTTCGATATCTCAATGAAGTATGGAAGAGAAACAGAACAGAGGCCATTGGGGCCATCCCACCGTTCATGTCCAAAGTGCTGATCAGAAGAAGGTATTGGCGCACAAAGGACATGGAACCCAACAACGAAGAGGTTCACTACCTCGCCCCATCCTGGCGGAACTATGGGCATTGGGTACTTCGCTCAGACAACACACAAACCTTGACAAGGGCTGTCATCACCAACACCGTGGAGCCAGTCACTGAGGACACGTGGATTGCCTTAGAAGACCATCTGACTCCCTTGGATCTTCGAAGGAGAATTCGAGGAAAAGCCATGATCAGAAAGGTACAAGAGGAGAAAGATGAAGAAAGCAGGCAAGACAGGCTGAAGCGGGAAAAGGTGATACAGGAAGAGGCAGAACATGCCTTCTATGATGATGAAGAGGTTGTTGAGGCCGTACTCAGGGGGGTGAAAGCCATGCAAGAGATGGATCAAGAAGATGAAGGAGAAGTGCTCCAAACGAAAATTGTGGGCACTGCTGAGGTGGTAAAGAAGAAAGACCTTTGGCATCAGGCCATTTCCAATGAGATCACTTCACTCTTCTCAGAAAAGAAAGCGTTGAAGCTTGTGACGAAAGAGGAGAGCGACAAGTATCTCAAAGAAAGAGGAGCGATTCCACTACCTTCCAAGACCGTATTTACGGTGAAGCCCGACCCGACTGATCGTCGGGGAAAGCGAAAATGCCGCATAGTTGCATGTGGCAACTATGAGAATGTGGGTGGAGATGAAAACTGTTTTGCGGCAGGAGCAGATGCTGCCGCCCTCAGGCTGGCACTTGCTCTGGCCACAGTTCGCAAATGGTGCGGAATCAATGTGGACATTCGCACCGCCTTTTTGAACGCTCCCTGGAAACATGAAAAGGGGGGTGAAGATTGGTTTTTTGAAGAAGAAGGCGAAGAAGCTCCGCTGCCAATGCTTCTTAGGCCACCACCAATTTTGGTCAAACTTGGCTACTTTCCTCCCTATCAGCTCTGGGAGGTTTTGCGAGCTCTTTATGGCTTCCGGAGGTCTCCGAAACTCTGGAAGGATTATAGAGATGAGGAGATGGAAAAGATGAGAGTTGGAAAGATGAGGTTGCATCAGCTTGAATCAGAGCCGAGTACATGGGCCATCCGCCAAGAAGAAACTGGCGATTTGCAAGGGCTCATGCTCACCTATGTTGATGACATTTTGGTCCTTGCCTCAGAGGAGACTGCAGAAGCTTGGATCAGCTGCATCCAATCCAAGTGGGAAACCTCCGTCCCTGAGAAGGTGGGCTGTCAGCAAACCACCCGGTTTTTGGGTATGGAGTTGTCTCGAGATCAAAATGGAGTGTGGTGCGCCACTCAACACTCCTACACTTTGGATCTCTTGCAGAAGAACATGGGGATGGACAGACAGAAGTGGGGATTGAAGAAGATTCCCATGTCAAAGGAGGATGGAAGTTTGGATAGTGATGGTGAGGAGGATGCAGAAAAGACAGTGGAAAAGGTTCGAGAAGCACAGAGAATCGTAGGTGAGCTGACCTGGCTGGTGACCAGGTGTCGCCCCGACATCATGTACGTCATGTCCAGAATTTCCAGATGGACCACCAGACGACCTTCCAAGGTCATTGCTGCAGCGCCTCAGATCTGGAAATACCTTGCGAATTCCATCCAAGAAGGGATTCGCTTTGGAGGAAACGAAGATGGTTGCCTAGACCTCCTGGTCTACACTGACGCGGCCTATGGAAATGAAGGCCACGGATGTTCAGTGGTGATGTGGCTGGGAGCTCCAATTTTGTGGCGAAGCTCGCGCCAACAACTTCAAACCGCCTCTACGGCAGAGTCGGAGCTGTTGGAGATTTTGGAAGGAGGAGTTTTGGCAGAGGCAGTCCGAGTAGTGGTGGAAGAAATTTTGGAAAAGGCAGTGCGATGTTGGCAGTACTCGGATTCTGCCTCAGCCATCGCCATAGTTGGAGGCGACAGTGCGTCCTGGAGGACGCGCCACTTGAGAAAGAGGGCTCGCTACATGAGATGGCATGATCGCCGACCTGGGCACCAAAGCTTTGGCGGCATTGAAGTTGGAGGAGCTGAAGAAAGCCATGGGCATGACAGATAGAAAGATCAAAACAGAAAAAGAAAAGGAAGATCTCGGTGTGGTGAGAGGGCCTACCGAAGAAAAAGAAGAGAATGGCGTGGTGAGAGAGCCGGCCATAGAGACGAAAGAAGCGAAAGGAGGGATAAAGTCCCCAAAAGATATGGTCAGGATGGCGATGATCATGGCCATGCTCAGCCGAGCGAAGGCCGAAGATGAAGATGGAGATGCAGGAGAGGAATCATCCATCTTCTTTGACATGATGATGGTATATACAATAGTGGTGGTGTTGGTCACGTTGGCCATTCAAAGCGGCTGGCAGCGACGACTGCTCAGGGCTGAGACGGCTGTGGGATCAGATCGATCCCGCGGCGAACTCGCTCAACGGAGTGCCAGGACATCGGGTCTGATGACCGATGGTCCAACCTCCGTCCCGGGTGAGACGGTTCTGGGATTCGGTGGAGGAGACCAATCTCGGGACGAACTCCCCAGGGGAAGCAGTCAGTTGCTCGGGAGTGCCAGGACATCAGGTCTGACGTCACAGACTGGTGGTCCAACCTCCCTGCCGGGTGAGACGGTTCTGGGATTTGGTAGAGGAGACCAATCTCGGGACGAACTCCCCAGGCGAAGCGGCCAACCATCTGGGAGTGCCAGGACGTCGGGTCTAGCGTCACAGACCGATTGTCCAACCTCCCCGCCGGGTGAGACGGTTCTGGGATTTGGTGGAGGAGACCAATCTCGGGACGAACTCCCCAGGCGAAGTGGCCCACCACTAAAAGAAGAAAAGGAAGAAACACCAAAGGCTGTAAAAAGAGCCAAAAGTATGGGGCCAGTCTTCTGCGTCCAAACAGGACGGACAGAAGAACACTTATGGCCAACCAGCTTCAAAACTGGAAGCTCCGCTACCAGAAGATCAAACAGCCTCTGCAGGAATCCAAGAACCAGCGATTCCCAAGGCGGCAGCAGAAAAGAAAGAAGTTGCTCCGCCACCAAAAGTTTTGCAATCAAAGTCAAAAGGAAAGAAAGGTGATGAAAAGAAGCCAAATGAAACGACCTCAACAGGGATGACGCAGATCAGAACCAACCATGCTGCAGCCGAGCCAAAAGTTGCAGCTTCCTCATCCACTGGCACTGGTGCTCAGATCCCTACGGATCCATCTTCCAGTGCTGACCCATCGATTGACCTGTACTTTACAGGCCTTGGAAAGAAATATCACTTCCGAAAGGATTGCTATGGGTTGAGAAATTCACAGATGGTGCGACACACCGATATCTGTGAGCAGTGTGTTCCTCAACTTCGCGGATGGCATCCTCGAGGGAGAGACATGTATGGAGCTGGATTGAATGGACCCCAGCACACCGATGTGACTCACTGCGAAAAAATGCATGGATATTCCATTGCGTATCAGCCGTGTAATTGGTGTGCGAGGCCAAATGAAAGCGAAAAGTGAAAAAAGGTGCGATGACATGCAAAGTGAAAAATTTTGGAAAAGAAGAGCGGAAAAAGAACATCTGAGAGAGGGCTTGAGCTTTGAATGTAACACTGTCGTGCAGATGGTGTGAGATATATTTTGCTTTTTTCGTGTGACTGTGCCTCTAGCGAAACACAGTCAGGGGGTGTGCGAATTGCATATTCCCTATTTAGCATTCATGTCATGACTTTGCAATTGTCATTTCAATCAATGGGCATTTCACCATAGCCCTTTTTCCAAGCTCAAAGATCGGTCGGAAGACCGGTGAATCCAACGTGAAGGACTTTGGAAAGAGAGTTAAAAGCGCAGGACCACTTGTCTGACCGTGGAGGACTTTGTGTGTCTAACGCAAGGAGTTTGAGGTGTGGACTAGTACCTGGCTTTTCTGGCCGCAGACGTGTCAGGACTGTCAGTGCTAGTACCCCCGATAATATTACCCGGGTGAACCTGTCGCGAACCACCAACCAGAGAATGTTTTTTTTTCGGTGTTCTTGTTTTGGCTTGAAACTTTATTACATTACATCTATGACCACGAGACTTTGGTGTGATGTGACGTTCAGCTCTTCACGATAGTGCAAAGAGATCAGCCGTTCCTTGCGCCAAGTTTCTTTTGGCTCGATTGGTGCCGTGCAAACGCTTTTTCAGCGATTCAGACATGGCGCTTTGCACTTTGCTTGCCTTGCTACCACTAGCCTCCGCCGGTGGAGGACCGGAGGATAGTGGAAATGTTTGGTGTCCGACCTTTAGGCAGGCAATCACCATGTTAGGATACCTTAGGATGCACGACACTTAGATTCCTGCAACCGGAGAAATTTCATCGCCGGCAGGAGACTACCAGCAGTATGTCAGCAGCTATGCAGGCGACTATCAGAAGTACCTCGCCGGAGGCTCTGATTATCAAAAGCTCCTCGGCACAAAATCACTGCCACTGGGCAACATGTTTGAAATCGGGTGGATGATGGCCAGGTGCCATCTTCATACGTTTATTTGTTGGAAATCAAAGAATTCCAGAGATCTTGCCACTTCAACTGCCGTTTTTTGCTGGTGTTTTGGCCATTCTTATGGGAACCCATATGAAGACATGAACCGAACTTCAAAGTCTGCAGGAGTTGGTGAAGAAATTGAACCAAGGGAGACAGGATGTCTCCCAGTAACCAACAACCAACAATCCCCAGCATTTTGCAGAGGTACTACCAGAAGTACATGGATCAGTACGGTGCGCAAGGCAAGAGCTCAGGCTACAAGAAGTACTTCCAGAAGTACATGGGTTCTGGCTCGGGTGGCTATGAGCAATACATGTCAGTGGCTGGGAACGGATTTGGAGACTTTTTGTATGGGGCAATTTATGATTTACTGGTGGACTTGGTGTATGTATAACTTTTTCTTGGCAAAGCCATGTGAGTTTGGGTTACCACCTCCCCCCATAGGATCTCTGTGGTATTTTCTTGAATCAGGTAAGCCCAAGAATTGACGCCAACCATCCCCAATTGGAGATTGAAATGCTTGGGTTTATCACCACGGGATTCAACTCCCAAAGGTGAGCCCTCAACCGGGGGGGTCACCTTTGGGCTTGAATCCCCGTGAATCACTGAGCCTGATGAAGTTCTTGTGAAAGGATGCCCATAGCAAGGATATATTGGATATATATGGATATATCATCATGATCCCTGATTTGTTGGCTTGGCGACTGAATTCATCTCCACAACATGTAGAAAAGATTATGATGATGATGATGATGATGATGATTTCTCGTTTGATCTAGGGCCATCTCGCTGGGGGCATTCCTTTATTTTGTTGGATACCGTCCGGTGATCATTCAAACATCCGTCTCCATGACGGAAATCAACCAAGGACTACGCTGGCAAGTATGTTGGCCAGACCCAGTCTGAATCTGATGGCAAATCCGATTCCAAAGAGCCATTGACTCTGGTTGCAGCTGCCAGCAACAAGGGAGAACATGATGATTCTAAGGAGACCAATGGCGGTGATTACCAGAAGTACATGAAGGGTCAGGGTGGCGACTACCAGAAGTACATGCAGGGCCAGGGCCAAGGTGGTTCCCAAGGCGGCGACTATCAGAAATACATGAAAGGTCAAGGTGGTGACTACCAGAAGTACATGAAGGGTCAGGGTGGTGACTACCAAAAGTACATGAAGGGTCAGGGTGGGGACTACCAGAAGTACATGCAGGGCCAGGGCCAAAGTGGTTCCCAGGGCGGCGACTATCAGCAGTACATGAAGCAGTACTCCGGCGACTACCAGAAGTACATGCAGGGTCAGGGTGGCTCCAAGGGTGGCGACTACCAGCAGTACATGAAGCAGTACTCCGGCGACTACGAGAAGTACATGCAAGGCCATGGTGGCTCCCAGGGTGGCGACTACCAGCAGTACATGAAGCAGTACTCCGGCGACTACCAGAAGTACATGCAAGGCCATGGTGGCTCCCAGGGTGGCGACTACCAGCAGTACATGAAGCAGTACTCCGGCGACTACCAGAAGTACATGCAGGGCCATGGTGGCTCCAAGGGTGGCGACTACCAGCAGTACATGAAGCAGTACTCCGGCGACTACCAGAAGTACATGCAGGGCCATGGTGGCTCCCAGGGTGGCGACTACCAGCAGTACATGAAGCAGTACTCCGGCGACTACCAGAAGTACATGCAGGGTCAGGGTGGCTCCAAGGGTGGCGACTACCAGCAGTACATGAAGCAGTACTCCGGTGACTACCAGAAGTACATGCAAGGCCATGGTGGCTCCCAGGGTGGGGACTATCAGCAGTACATGAAGCAGTACTCCGGTGACTACCAGAAGTACATGCAGGGTCAGGGTGGCTCCAAGGGTGGCGACTACCAGCAGTACATGAAGCAGTACTCCGGCGACTACCAGAAGTACATGCAGGGTCAGGGTGGCTCCAAGGGTGGCGACTACCAGCAGTACATGAAGCAGTACTCCGGCGACTACCAGAAGTACATGCAGGGTCAGGGTGGCTCCAAGGGTGGCGACTACCAGCAGTACATGAAGCAGTACTCCGGCGACTACCAGAAGTACATGCAGGGCCATGGTGGCTCCCAGGGTGGCGACTACCAGCAGTACATGAAGCAGTACTCCGGCGACTACCAGAAGTACATGCAGGGCCAGTCTTCCCAAGTATCTGGTTTTGTTAGAGCAAGTTTTGTCATCGTTTTTCCCGGTCGCTTCATATGTTTGCCTGGGTCAAATGGGGTTAGTTTGGTGTGTGGGACTTGGTTGTGCAATATACAATATACAGATACAACCTTCGTGTCATCAGATTACTTTCTGTGGCCAATCGAAGGGCTCGTGGTTTTAGATAGTCTTGATTCAGATGTTTGCCCGGATTCAGGTACCGTTGACTGACCTTTCATGCCCAGTTCAGAAAATCCCTGATTCGGACGTTTGATCGTTTGGAAAAAGCCACCAATCAGCAACCTTCGTCCTCAATTCCTAACTGCCAGATTCAGTGGAGTGGCTCACCCAAAGCCAAACCTTGGAACCATTGGTTTTGATTGGATGTGATTCCATGTTTTGAATCCAAAAGATCCACGTTGGAGACCTGTGCAGATTCTCTTTTCACCTTTCCATGGCACCAAGCTGCTCTGAATGCCTCAACTTACTTTGCATCCCCAGGTCACATCCACATCAGCTCAAATCCCATTTTCCATGGTAAATCGCCATCTTCCCAGATAAAACCATCATTTTCCTAGGTAAACCCACCATTTTCTAGGTAAAACGTTCGTTTTTTCGTCAGCGGACGCCAAGGACGCCACCTCGGACTCCGCCGCACTGCTGGCTGCGGTGCCGCCCTCGGAGGTGGCGCCGGCCTCGTCGGAAGCCACGCAGAGTGCGGAGGAGGGGCGGAAGCGGCCGGTTGTTTACTGGTTGGTAATATCAACAACTATGATTAATTCTGGTAATACAAAATAAGTATAAATAAGTTGATATCTTCACACTATGAACTGATACTTAGAGATTGGGACATCTTATATAGTATCTATATGTATCTATATTCTATGGATATCGGGTCATTGACTAATGGTTATTGATGGTTATGATTAACCAATGGTTGTTAATAATTATTAGTGATGATTATGATAATTATTAGTGATGATCATGAATTCATGGTTATTAACTAATGGTTATTGATTGGTCGTTGATGGTTATTGATGGTTATTCACCATTGATGATGATTATTGATGGTTATTGATGGTGGTTATTAAGCAATGGTTATTGATTAGTAGTTAAATATTGATAACTATGGTAACTAGTGGTCACTAATGGTGATGTTCATTATAAACCAATGGTTGTTTACTGGCTACCAGCTAAGTAATGGGTATTGAATGGTCCTTGATGATGGTTATTGATGGTATTAACTGACGGTATACTAACGGTTATTCATGGTGACTACAACTGACAAGTAAGGTAACTAATGATTATTAATGCTTATTAACTAATGGTTATTGAATAGTAGTTAAATATTGAATACATGCTAGCATTATTAGTGATGATTATGAAGATTGTCATTATTGATGATTATATAATGGTTATTAATGGTTATTGACAGTTATTGAATGGTTATTGGTGGTTATCGAATGGTTATTGATTGGTCATTGATGGTTTTTGATGCTTATGAACCATTAATGATGATTACAACGGTCAATAATGGTCATCAATGGAACATTAATGATTTGCTAATGAAAATTGTGATGATTGATGACTGTAATTGATAGCTATGGTAACTATTAGTATTTTGTTGATAACTATGGTAATATCAATAACTATTATTAATTCTGGTAATACAAAATAAGTTGATATCTTATTACAACTATATACTATTTATGGATCTTTATGGATAATTTCATTGTCATCAATGATGTTGATGGTTATTGGGATGTTAAACTCTAAGATCTGGATCCATGTTCATGTTCTGGAGAGTGGGTTACATCACCTATTAATCGCTACGTGAAAATGTGATATCACATGGATACTATATCGATACTATATAGAAATTATCCCGACTGATTAGATAAATAATCTGATATCCATAGAATATAGATACTATATAAAATGTCTCAATCTCTAAGTATCAGTTCATAGTGTGAAAAAAAGTGTTCGTATTGAATGGGAAGTGACAATCTTATCCATGGGCCCCTGCACACCAGCATGGAAACCAACAAAAATGCACACAGAAAGTTGTTTTCATCTCGTAGGTGTAGTTTATCTAATATGTGTTTTTCAATATCAATAAGTGTAACCACGTTACGTTTGATTGCTAAAACGTCCCCTTTTATTGATGTCTGATTTTTTCGCGGTTCGACATTCCACCGTCTCTTTATCAGAGCAGGTAAGATCTCAATTGATATCTCCCCAATAGAATTGAGTTGATTCACCATCCCGAATTTTGGGCTTGAAATCTGTGTGTTGCTTAAACATATCGCATATTCATCCCCCAAATATAACCGTACCCCCCAAATGAAACCCGGGTGAAGTGTACTGTGGTTGGTGAAGCATCCCATGGAAATTTACTTTGAAATAGACTTTGACCCGAAGCGCAGGACGAGAAGCACTTCATGGCAAAGTTTGCCAAGGTTTGGGATGGGAAATCGAAAGGGGGTCCAACCTCAAAACAGCCACTCACCATGATGATATGATCGGATCATGATCGTTTCTACATTTCAAATAATGTTCTCTACATGTGTTTTACATGTTTCTTGTCTTCATGTTAGAACGACGGATCCCAAGTGGAGATCAAAGCATTTCCACTTGCTTTGGTCACAGCTTTTTGGAGCCGGCCTCAGGGATTCGAGCAGTACATGAAGGATCGTGGTGTGGATGTTTCCAAGGACTGCGCAGCGAATTTGTCCAGGGAGATGAGCAGGTAAAGTTGCCAAGTCTCTGTGTAGAAACGATGTAGAACCAGGTCTCATTGTTTTCTGTATTGGGTGATTGAAAGATTTCAGGTCAGCATTTGAGTTCACTGTGTGTCAAAATGGTATGATTCAGATTGATTCAAGTTAAACAGCCAGTCCCAAGCATTGGTGCTGCCTGATTCATCGATCTGTAATGTTAAAATTCTCTGCATACTCAAGGCATTTCAAACCCCATATATTGAATCCGCGTTCTTCCCCATGTTATTCAATGTTATCCATAGATGTTATCCACATCTGCTGCTTGCCATTGCTTGCCCGAATTTTACACTCTCTTAAGCAGGGTATGCCCCAGCTGTAGGACTCCGAGAAGTACCTCGAGGGCCATGCTTCGAAGTTCAAGGACTACCTCACCGCACGCAGCACCAAGGCGGTCGGGGAAACCAAACGCTTCTGGTTGTGGCAGGACCCTCCGGGTATTACCCGGGTAAATCTGTAAATCTCCTCATTGAAAATGAGAAAAACATGGAAAAGAAAATATGCTCAGGTAAATCGTCTAGAGATTGGTAATTTTCCATTGCCGGCTTAGATTACCAGAGCATACCTCATGTTTCAATATGCTGAAGTGAGTGGAGAGGGCATGTACTGCTGGTGGATGGGTGGCTGGTGACCGGCGTTGATATTTGAAATTGTCTTGGGACAGTTCATCTAAATGAATGAGTTTTTTTGGAAAGGTTGCAAGAATCAGCAAGGTACTTCCTGGGATGGTTTACTCCAAAAAAACACCAGCAAGGGATAATTTTCCACCACGTTCTTACCCTCACTATGCTAGTTATTGACAGTATCTTGACCGGCAGGTGATTTTGTGATTTGTCTCCAACTCAGAAAAGAACTCACATCCCCACCAGGCCGCGGGTGATTTCAAGAAGTACTTCAAGGCCCAACGTTTTTACCGGGGCTGATGACTGCCAGGGTCACCCTAGATCCAGAAATCGCTTCAGGACCTTCTCCATAGAAATTCTGTTACAATGCCTGGTGAATGGAGATTTCCATAAAGGATTGTGATCATATCCAATATATTGGGTAGTACAACCATTGTAACAATAGATCGACTGCTTCGGAAACTCCTCAATTCACCCGCATACAATTTTCGGGGAAGGTGGTTCAATTGCCAAACCGTCACTGGCTTGGCTTTGTCGGGAAATTTTACAGGACACAATTTCTTTTCACTGGAAATATGTGTGCCACGGTCAAAAGATTAAATTCATTATATACCCATATCGGGGAGTGTTCATATCACCGTTAACACGGAATTACACTAGCCAATATATCATTTGCAAAAATGGTGGGATGACCACAACCCATTGCCACTAATTCGTATGAATCCATATAAATCACCACTAATCCATATGAATCGTAACTTGACCCACGGCGTGGCTTTCCAGCCAATGAGGACTACGAGGAGTACATCAAGGGCCAGGGCAAGGACGCTGCGGACGACTTCGATGGCTTCGTCAAGAAGTACGCCAAGGACGCAATTCGGGCCCAAGCTGGTCAGTGATGACCAGGTTTTACTAACATTATAATAAATATGATACCAGTTCTATAAACATATATTGACCAACATCATCCAACATGGAAACTTTGGAAGATGTAGATGTTTAGAGGTGGAAAATTGATTCCTGGCTATCGAATTGGATGAAAGAGGGGCGGTTGGAGGTGGAAAATGTGGACAAAGCGGTGAAGAGCTGAAGTGTGGGTTGAATCCAAAGGAACATCCGAACTCATAGCGGTGAAGCAACGCCAGACAGGAAGAACCTGTTTTCCCAGTGAATTTTACTGCGAACATCATCAGCTCCTGATAAATCTGCTGTTGTGTTCGTTTTACGTCACCCTTTGATTCTTAAGTGAGATTTGTAAGAACACCCCACTATCGATTGATGAGTTTCATCGCAAGGCTTCCTTATAAATCCATCCAGTCTGCTGCGTGTTCAATCAATTTATATCCTCAGCTTAAGCTGGTTTCCAACCCCATTCATTCAGGAACACCCCCCATTCCTGTCACTGAAACTCCCATGTTCTGTCAGTTAAGCCCCCAATTCCTCTTTGTGATGGCCAGTTGCTTGAACCGTATTGAACCCATTTTTAGCTGATGACGTCCCCTGTTTTGAACGGCGAAACCCCAATGATTTCCTTGAAAAATCCGGAGATGCTGAAAGCAGGACTACGCCCAGTTCCTCAAGGAGCGCAGTGCCGGTGAGGATGTGCCATGGTGCATGGCTGGACGGGAAGGCTTGATAAATTTATGGGATTCCCCAATGGTTTGAATGGTTTGTTTACTCAATTTACTCAACTCTTGGATTTGGTCAATCTAAGATGGCTATGCAAATGGGATTTTGCTGATCATGAAACGAAGTTGGGGGTTTAAACAAAATTCAGGGTGAAAATTTTGGGGATCTTCGCACCCGCGACTATAAGCGGTACACATTCAGCTGAGGTGATGTTGGCTGGCGCTGCCCCTTGGCAACTGACCATCTTTGTTCTGCACTCAAAAATAGGTAGGTGTGTTGTGTCCGGTACATGGTAATATGGCCACTACTGATGTGTATGTATCATTGGGCAACCCTTCCCATATTTTTGGACCTTGCCCAGCCGGAAAAAATGGCGAGCTAGTTTTCTCCAAGTCGAATTTACAATGTGCTCTTAAAAACTGGCAGATATGGATGAGATGCTACTCACTTCAAAGTAATTCCCTTTTTATTTGAAGACCACTTTCCAAAGGAATAATCCGTGGTGAAAGCGCCTGAAGACATCAGAGTTAGGCCTGCCCCCGACCATGGTTGCCGCACATCAGCTCCAAACCTTATTTACTACAAAGGCTGGTGATGCGCCAAGTGATAGAATAAGAGTTTCTCTGCAAACCAGCCCAGAAATCCAAGTAGGATGAAACTCGTCCAACCCTTCAAGCAGTTTTAAATGGCTGGGTTAATCTTCCAGCCCCTCAACCAAGCATCCATTCCATCTATATCCGTAGATATCCAGCAAATCAAACGATTACCAGGATAAATCCTGGCTCCCCGCAATGAGTTGAGAAATCGACACAGAAAGCCATAGGGCCCTGGTCTTTTGCGCAGCTGCACCAAGGATCCCAAGGATGCCCAGGATCCCAAGGAGGCCCTGAAGCAACAGCTGCGTCACGAGGCCCAGGGCGTGACCGATCGCTTGCAGAAGGAGAAGCAGCAGCTGCATGAGGACGGGATTTCCTCAGCACTTTATGGCCAACCAATGGATCACTATTTTGGAAAATGATCAACCAATGGATGGAATGGGCTAGCCGATTTTTTGACAAACACATGTTGGCTGGCGGAAATCCATGTTTTTTTTGTTGGTTTTGCTGACTTCCTTTGGTGGTGACCTTTCCAAAAAATGTCCAGAGATGGCAGGAGTTGCAACACGAGCAGGAAAGCATGGACAGGGAGATGAAGAGGGAGCAGGAGCAACGGGGCCCATCTATGTGAGAGACAAAGCTAAATGGAGGCTAATTGAACAAAAAAATAAATTGTCTTGGGTCGTCACCGTCATCATCATCATCATCATCCACCGTTGGACCATTGGACCACTGGACCATTGGACCATTGCGAATCGTTTCCCAATGGTATGACCAATAGTTTCCTATTTTACCAGTGATGAGCAACCCCAGTAGCATCCTCCGCAGGGCTTGCGCGCAGCCGAGAAACAGCGTCTCGCGGAGGAGTTCTGCGGAGTTCTGCGCGCTTTTTACCGCTGAAGATGGGAATGTATTATGACGATTCACCGTATACAACCTATATTATATAATATGTATATATATATATCTTTGTATATACCCAAGCAAAATCGGTTGATGTATCGGGTATAGCTCGACACATCCCAGTTATTTTTTGAGATAAAATTCCATTCATCAAACATGTAGTACTGGGATGCAAGTCGGTCACAGTGAAATCTTTGGAGAATCATCAGGATTCACCCAGACAGTGCTATGGTTTTGAGTCTACAAATGCTTTGTAGGGATTTGTCAATTGGACATACCAAAGAGGTGCTTAACTCTTGATACTTTTGTGTTGCTGTATATGCATTTTCTGTTTCTACGACCTTGGAGGTTGCTGATTGTATGATCTTTCAATGCGTGTAAGCAGTGCAAAAGAAATAAGCAACCCACTAGCCATGCTGGCAGAAATTTGGTAAGGCCATACCACGATGATTTCCCAAACTCGGGACTGCTTCCAGATGGTTGGTTCCATCCTTCTTTTTGTTCCGCTAAAATCCTACGGTTTCTTGTTTCTTGATTGGTTTTGCAAGTTGAATTCGAATGATTTTGATTCAAACCCAGTGCTCAAGACCCAACTTTGGCTGATTCAATTCCCTTCGGTTGGTCAAAGCCCATCAGTTTCTCCCAAGCCCAAAGTTTGAACGCTTGGAACTTCATTGGGAAGGAAAATGGTTTCTTAATTCCCAGAATTTGTGTTGGTTCAATCCCAATTTTCCATGATCAAATCCCATTTTCAATCTTAATTTTTCATGATCAAATCATTCAGATCCCAATTTTTGGCGATGAAAATCCCCCTTTCCCATGGCTGAAACCCAGCACCCCAGGAGCTGAAGCACGAGACCCACCAGAAGGCTCAGGCAGCCGAAGCCAAAGAGGCGAAGGAAACCAAGGAGGCTCCAAGAGTTGCGGGATGGGACAAAAAAATGTGGGGATAGATGTTTTGATTATACAAATGTATCGAATGTGTACATATATGTATTCATATGTGTCTGTATATATATATATGCATACAAATATACATACAAATATACATACAAATATACATACAAATATACATATACATATACATATACATATACATGCATATAAAGTGTTGAGTATATTGTGTGATTGACACTTGGAGTATGTACTACAGCAATTATTCTGGGATGACCCACATGGCTAGACCATTTTTGTGTGTTTGCCAAGCCGGCCGTGAAGTGGTCCGACCATCCCGAGGCATGAGTCAAAATTAGGTTCCCCAAATTAGGTTCCCAAAATCTTTGGGCTTAAAATCCGAAGCTTTGTGAAATCATTTTCCCTGCAGGAAATTTGCCACAAATCGGAGTAAGCCCCTATTTTGAGACAAACCCAAAGGAGGATACAATTTTGAACAAGTATGCCCCTACATTGGACCCACCATGACTCCTGTCTATTTGAGGGTCTAGTTCAACGACCAGTTTGGAGTTTACCCCATCTAGACAGAGCCATAGTTGATCAATTGGATGATCACTGTTGATTATGTATCAATGTATCCCATTTATGTCCCATGATAGCCCCCCCGTGCGTTGTATGTGGCTGTGTCTGAAATGGGATACCCCCTCAATAGCCATTTTCAATGGGAAAATTCTGATTGACCGTTAGATTTGGGTATCCGATGTTCAGGGAAACCTATATGTATACTGTAGCTAAAAAAAACATGGGCTGCGTATTGCAGTAATCTAAATGGCTTAGAATATGGTTGGATATATGATTCCATTTCTATCCAATGATCTTCCCATTCGTGTTTTATATACATAATTATATATATACCAGTTATGAACCATCTATTCTTCACCATAGCCCCTGGCACACCGGAAGGAGCCCAAGTCGCACGACAGCAAGGCCAAGGATGCCAAGGATGCCAAGCCCGCCACTTGCCGTATGGGTCAAAGGTCCCTAGAATTGGTTAACCCATATGATATCATGTCAAATTTATATAGAAATACATGTATGTATATATATATATGCATATATATATATTATATATAGCAGCTGGTATGGAGATAGCAGCCCATCTATATGTGGGCAGCTCAAAAAGCATTGTACCATGATTTTCTCTGCAAACTAGTTGGTATCCCAGAAGGTCCAATTGATACCCATAGGTATTGACCCATCCGTATCTTGCAACCATCGGCTTGACATTGAGCACAGGCATCTGAATTAAATCGATTGCTTCCTAACCTTGTGTACATGAGCAGGCTAGAAGTCAAATTGTGCAGTTCAAAGAGGTGATATCTCCGTTGTGGTCCCTCTTCACTATCATGAACATGAAGGGTCATTGATTTGAATTTCTTTCAATCCACCAAAACTCCATAAGTTCCACAAGTGATATTTTGATCATTCCTCCATCATTGGGGCTAGTTTCTGGCCAATTAAACATGCTGCGATGTTTGCTGAGGCCATGCTGTTGGAGACCTCGCATTGGACCTTCCCGGGCTTCATGCTGTCTCTTGGCGGCATACCATGGGGGGAAACCCCTGCGACTGACTTTGACCTGCTTAGTTTATCTTAGTTTCTTTGCCTCAACCAGTTTCGATACCCCATGATTTTTCATGATTTTTGCGTATTGCATAGTACGAGAGGGTTAAAGATGCCCATTGCGAGTAAACAGAACAATTACCCCGCAATATCGTGGATAGAACCTACCAAGACTGCGCTCGGGCATAGTGATTCTGGAGGAGAGGGGATATCCCATAAATGTCAATGCTGCGATGATTTGTATTTGCACATATTCTGACAAGCCCAAAACGATCGCAATAACCAACCATATGGGAGCCATAGCTAGGGGCATACAATGGTTTTATACACATCCCACAATCATCCCATGCCGTGCCCACATATCACCGGGTGACCTCATTACATCTCATCTTATCATCCAAAATTGTCCCAATAAGTGTATTCTGTTCTCATATCCATGGTCCCAGAATTATTGCAATTATTAACCCAGAGATAAATTGCCAATTTTCCGAATATGTGACCATTATAATTGTCCCATGATTATCCCATTATTTTCCCATCACCTAAATATCATTGGGTTTACTTCAACATCTACACATGAGGGGTTCTTGAAAATGGGGGATCCCCAAGTCACCATAGGTTTCAATACTAAAATGGTCATCCATGACTTGGATGATTTGGGGGTACTCCTGTTTTAGGAAACCCCCATATCACATCTACATAATATCGCAGTCACTTGGGTCACTCCCCAAGCCGCCCAGTTTGCTCCTGGCCCTGTCCGGCAGCGCGGCCCTGGCTTTGGTGCGCGCGCGTCGCACCCCGCGCGCCAGCGAGGACTACGATGCTCGGCGCATGGTCCTTTCGGGGGATCCCTTGTTTCCCAGACAAACGGGGAGCTAAACATGAAAAATGATGCTTTTTTACCATCAAAGAAAATGATTTAGATGATCTATCTACTTAGCGGAAAGTCGGAGTTAGCTTTGAAAAATAGTGGATTTGACCTTTGACTAAATTGGGATTTCACAAATTTCACCTTCAGAGATTTAGATTTAGCCTTCAAGAACTGGAAATTGAGTTTCACATATTAGGATTTGGCCATCAACAGATTTGGAGTCAACCATCGAAATGCGGATTCGTGTTGCCCTTGGTAAGCAAACATGGCAGTGAGAAATCACCATGTTTAAAGGTTAAATCATTTGTAAATGGTGGATTCCTGTCCCAAAGTCTTGTGGCGCGGTTTCCTCTGGAAAGCACGAGAAGTTAGTGTCCATTGCCAGCAATGTTGACTGATGGTAAAACCATAAGCTGCGAATTCTTCGCAAGTTTTGGTTCCAAATATGTAGAGGAGAGCAATCAAACTGCAAAAAGTGAAGGATGATGGGATGGTAACCATCAATCTGTGCCAAAACGTGCCTAACGCCCAACGATGCTGAGGCATAGCAAGATTTAGGGGATCTGATTTGATTCGTGGAAGTCCAAGTTCTTTTACCGCCAATGTCGCCACTGGTGTCAAAAGGAAATGCTTCCGGATTCAATTTTAAAGAAATAGTAAGTTTCTTGATTAAAGATTATTATCCTAACTGAGATCGAGTCGCATGGCCAACTTGGGTCTTAGCTCACCATTTTCATCCCTTTCACCCCTTTACAGTGTGACACAGCTGTCATTGTCCAAAAATGATAGGCTGCTTCGCTGCTTCCTGTGAGGTCATGCACTTGGAACCTCCTCTGGCTGCAGTGTCACTTGGTGCCAGTCGTCATTCTGATAGTGCGCTGGAAAAACTTGCATTTCTATTGCTAGGTGATGATGATGATGATGATGATGATGAATCATCGTACCATGGTGACCATCATGATTGTCATTTCATGGTTCTTCAGCCGCATCATGGATAATCACTCCTGGAAAAACAGGAAATATAAGGATCCTTGTACGATTTGATTGACCCACATCTTTGGAAAGGTCCTCAGCACCCCATCTTTTTGCAGCTCCATCAGATTGACCTTCGAATGGTCCTGATTTTTCCCACATTTCAGGTGAGTGAACTCCAATTGCTGCAACTGCTGCAACATGGCAGCATCTTGGTGACTTCTCCAAACCTCCGAAATCGGAGGCGCACGCCTTTTGAGGCAGGGAAGCTACACAAAAAAAATATGATGTGTTTGTCTCCAAATCTGTAGGATGACAAATCATTCCATTTAAAGATCATGCATTCCGCTTTTGGGGACCAATTCTGAACGTCTGCAATGTATTTTAATGTATGGATTCATTGTAGAAAACCTTCTGGAGGGAGCGAAGCTGAGAAGCTTTGGATTGGACAGGTTGTTTTCAGGGTATGGATCAGAGTAGACCACCAGAATGCAGCATTCAGAGAAAGTTGAGTTGGACGGAAAAGACATCAAAGTCAGCCATTTACTGGTTGGTGGCTTCAGATATCTTCAGATATTGTTGACATAGTTTGACAATGTTTGCTTTCCCATCTATTGTTGGGATGATGCTCCGATTGCAAAAAATAGTTTTTGTATGGGTGGCGAATCCCCAAGCAACGGATTCTTGTTGGTTAATAGGTCTAATGAGTCCTTTTTCGTGAATGGAATCAGATTTGAATCCTAACCATTTAACCAGCCAATCTGCCTTGTTACGCCTTGTGACCAAGATGTTTTGCCGAATTCTCGATGGTGCAAATCAGAGCCAACCGAGCAACACGCTTGGTCTGTGTACCTAGCCGCGCCAACGCGTCCTGTTTTCCGACGCGGCGCTGCCGCACCCGGCAGATTCCTTTTGAACTCTTGCAGATGGAGATGGTTCAGTAGGATAGTAATTCCCATGAAATCCGATCGGCCGGAGCCTAAAACCAGGAGGTTCATTGGGGGGTTGAAGTCAACAGTGGAGTCATTGTCAAATGCACCATGACCTTGGCCATTGTCGCTCCGAACCATCTCGTCCACAGGTTTTGGGGGAATTCTGCTCACCATATGCAAGCAGTGCAGATGAAAAATCCATTAGAGTTGTGGCACATCAAGAAACTAACTCCATCACTTGGTTATACCGCATAGTGTTTGATGAATATATTCCCAAGTTTTATCGATTAGATTTGGTTGGTCTGGATTGGTTATAGTGCCCATGTTAATCACTTATGTTTTACTGGTTATTGTCCCCTTTTCATTCCTCCATGTTGATTGGTGATGTTCCCATTGTCCCCAAGTTGGAAAAAAATATATCATCATACCTGCCCTTGGAAATCACCCCGATTCTGGGCGGAAAGTCACCCAAAAGACACTGCAACAGGTCATGTCTTATTGCACTGCTGACCTCGGTGGGTGGAATGTCTCCGAGATCACCATCATAGATCTCTTGCACGCATGGCCATGTCAACCAGCCCGTGAAGCCCCAACAGCTCCATTGAAAGCTGTAACCAGCTAGTTACCAACTAGTTACTAGGTGAAATCCATGGCTGTCACCGGAGTTGACCTGGTGAGAGCTGGTCAATCCAGGCCATTCCAATGATTGCGCTTCATGAAACTTCATCAAAACGAATCATTTCACTGGAAGATGATACGGTTCATGGGATTATAATCCGAGATACTTGGAAGTTTGGGAAAGAGCTGGCCGCCAAATCGATGGTTTGAAATAGTGCCGTTGTTTGGACGGGATGAGGTCCCTGTTCCTACGGTTTTCTACGATTCAGACAGAAGAGTTTACTCCTAGAGCTACTCCAAAAAGAAACACACTGCCGACTGCCGAGCCAAATTGACCAGCTCCCTTTTATTTGGCCCCCAGCCCGCAGCCATATTCAAGTCCCTGGCTGCGCCGACAGAAAAGTGCCCTATGGGTCCAGATGGGACTACAGCCGCATCGACTGAGTTCATCAATAGTTTTGGGGGCTTCTTGCTCCAAAGTGCTGTGAAATATCCAATTGCTTCTCCGGATGATGAAGCCCACTGACGAACATATTTTGCATAGCCAACTTTGTCTTTTTGGAATATGCCCAAAAAATATCACATTGCCAAGTTTGGCTCAAGTTTGCTGCCCAAAAACCGGTGCGGCAGGTGTGAAAGCACAGCCATGTCGAAGTTGCTTTTGGCACTACTTCCTGCGGCCTTCGGCCAGCAGCAAGCAGGAGCTCATCTTCGGGTCAGTGGTGAGAATGTAAGACTCCGCAAGGTACAGAAAATGGTGTTGTTTCCAACAGAAACGGACGGTTTTGCCAGCATGTTAAAGAAAAAGGAGTTTGAACGAACAAAAACGAGATGAAAGATCCGATGTTGTGGTGTCCCGTGTAAAATGTAGGCCCCGGTCACAAACCCGGGAATTTGGTCAGTCATGGACTCATAGATGTATGTCATTCTTCGAGTGGATTGGTCCCCCCAGATCTACATCGAATTGAGCCTGCATAAATCTGCATAAACCTTTGTGAAGAATTTCTTTTCCTTACACGGCATTTAAATGCATTTAAGACATTTTCAGACTGAGTATGAGGATCCCATTGACAAACCGATGTTGCTTGGGGTGGATCTGCAAAGCTTCACTTCATCCGCACATGGGTTAGCACCCCTTTGCGATGTCGCCAGGATCGTACATGGCCGAGTATGCGGAAGACTACATGAAGTACATGTCCAATGGTTCCTGGGACTGAACCAATAAATGCTCCTCTGGGCATGTTCCATTTTTGGCCAATTGGTCATGTGCTTAAGCTCAATGGCAAGAATCGCGGTAAAACATTACATTTGGAGTTGGGTAAAACCAATCATCAACTCGCGTTGTGTTTACCCAACCCTATAAATGATCAATGTTACCCAACTCTGAGTATTTAGGTTGACCTCGTTGGTTGGAATTTTCTGCACAAGTTCGAAGTGGTCGCTGTATCCTCTTCTGTTCCGTTTGTGGTTTAGCCTTTCTTTCCTCAGATCCGTGAAGAAACTGATGGCTTGTCTTGCTTGACAGTTCCCAGCATCATCCAGTGCGAATTGATTATCAGTGCTTCAGAATATAACTCACAATACATGAGGATATGTTGAGGTGTGAAGTTCATTGATGATATGGTTGTTGAATTTCAAATATCTCCTATTTCCCATCCTACCTACTTTTATCTCCCTGCCTTTCACATGTTTTGGGGAATTTTGTGAGCCGCAGCCGCAGCCCACCTGGAACTCCGACCCTTTGGGGCCTGGCCGGGCCGGACTGAGGTGGTGGTGACTATCAGAAGTACTACCAGAAGTACATGGACTCCTACGGTTCAGGTGGCGGCGGTGGCTACGAGAAGTACATGTCGGAACCCTGCCTAAAACGGCCTTGTTATACATAGCTCCGTTTTAATGTGCTGTGGGCCCCGGATTTACGACGACGAAAGTATAGGGAAAGTTTGGGATACCCTACATTCTGACACGCCCAAATGATGTTTAATTGTTCCAAGATATGACAACTACCATTCTACCCTATTTCTAGCTGGAGAAAGCTCATATCGTGATGAGCGAAGACTCCACCATCAAATATCAAGCTGTGATGTCACCATCCCATTTGGGAACTGGTTGATTACCATTCTTGCGAACTGAACAGGGTTGCGAACCATGTCGGATTGCTGGGAATTTCACCCCGCACGCATTTACACAAGAATCTCCATCGTTTCAACACAACACACCAGATACAACCAAATAGTACATGATGAGTCGTCATCTCCAGGCATATACCATTCTTGCTGAGTCATATGCCCCTATCAGAATCATAACAGTATGCATCCATCCCATCTAGCCTCTGTGAGCTTTCTGGTCATTCATATTCATCATCATCACCACCACCACCATGATGATGACGACAATGCAAACAGGAAAATGTAGTAAAGATAGACAATGCCTCATGATCATGATAGAAATGATTTGGCCAACGAGAAGCAGAACAAAACCGTAAAGATCAATAAAGATCAGAATATACAACATATAAGAATAGTAAATCTCATAAATCTCCATTCCCCCAAGAAATCATTCCCCATCTCAGGAGTATGCCGGCAAGTACGCCGGTCAGTACGTGCCGGGCTCCGTGCCGGGCTCCAAGTCTGAGCACTCCAAAGCCGCGGACGTCCTGGTCTTGGCCGCTGAGGCCTGGGGCCGCGGAGGAAAAAATGTGGAAATTTTTGGTTTTTACCGCCAGAAATGGTGGCAAAACCAACCACAAAATGGGATACAATGAGAATCAATCAGAATCAATGAGAATCAATGAGAATCAATGAGATATGATTGAAGATACAATTGGAGGCTGTATGGCAAGTGATGGTATTTGATGGGTATAGTGGGTATCAAATGACGGTCTTGGAATACCATATATCCATCGATGATCATCAAGTTGCAAACAAAAAACGAATCAGTTGTTGATGGGCGTGATGTCAACCATGGTGAAATCAACCGAAAAGATGGCTATTGTGAAATAGGTTAAGCTAGATAGTCCCACAATTATGGCCATAGACCCACATATCAAATGGAATCCTACAGGATTCTGGAATGTTCCACGACGTTTGGGAGTTTCGCAGGAAGGTTTGATCAAATCTCCTGTTTTTGAAGCATTTGTTCCGTCGGGGTGCGCGTGCAATGAAATCTTCCTGTAGAAAGCAACCCCATCTTTCAAGCCCCCAGGGAGTCCCAATCTCAAACCTTAAACAATGCATGACTCAATTTCCTAAAGACATCAGAGAAATAAAATCCAAAGAATTTGGCCTTTGGAGAAGTTCCCATCCATTCTTCACATTCTTCACATCCACGGTTCTTCAAAAGCGTCTCGCTGCCAGGATCCAAAGGATCAGAAGTCCAAGCATGAGAAGTCCAAGGACTCCAAGGACTCCAAGGAGTCTAAGGAGTCTGAGTCCCTTAGCCGCCTTAGCCTTTTTCAACGGCCTCGATTGGCTGGGCCCCATGGGGATGTCACCAAGCCAGATCCGGTATACCATATACCATGATGTTTTGTGGATCATGAATGAATTAGTAATGTCAAGCATATCAAAAAGCAGCCCGTATTTTATGATCTATCACAAAAGAATGAATATATGGTCCCGAATGATTTACATTTTTCAGATGGCTCAGATTCCACCAGAGGATGAAGGAACAAATGAGCATGAGCAATGCCCGATTGACATCGATTGACCTCTTGTTGGTCTATGTATCGAGTCTTATCGTCAAGCTCAGTGAGGATAACCATAACAACTGGGACGAAACATGGAAAAACCAAGCAGCCAATCCAAATCTCCCCTTTCACCCGTCACCCAGGCATTCCAAGAGCACTGCTAGCGATGCCAGCGATGCCAGCGACGCGTCTGGTGACTACCAAAAGTACATGGACAAGTATTCCAAGGACTACAAGCAGTACATGCAAGCCCAGGGTGCGGCAACTAAGGGACAGGCTGCCGGAAGTTACCAGAAGTACATGGATCAGTACAGTTCTGCACAAGGGGCTGGCGACTATCAGAAGTACATGGACTACCAGAAGTACATGCAGGGCCAGGGTTCCAAGGGTGGAAACTACCAGAAGTACATGGCTCAATATGCTGATGACTTCCAAAAGTACATGTCTCAGTATGCTGATGACTACCAGAAGTACATGCAGGGCCAGGGTTCCAAGGGTGGAAACTACCAGAAGTACATGGCTCAGTACGCTGATGACTTTCAGAAGTACATGCAGGGCCAGGGTTCCAAGGGTGGTGACTACCAGAAGTACATGCAGCAGTACTCTGCCGACTTTGAAAAGTACATGCAGGGTGGCGGTTCCAAGGGTGGTGACTACCAGAAGTACATGGCTCAATACGCTGGTGACTACCAGAAGTACATGCAGGGCCAGGGTTCCAAGGGTGGTGACTACCAGAAGTACATGGAACAGTACGCTGATGACTACCAAAAGTACATGCAGGGCCAGGGTTCCAAGGGTGGAAACTACCAGAAGTACATGGCTCAGTACGCTGATGACTTTCAAAAGTACATGCAGGGCCAGGGTTCCAAGGGTGGTGGCTACCAGAAGTACATGCAGCAGTACTCTGCCGACTTTGAAAAGTACATGCAGGGTGGCGGCTCCAAGGGTGGTGACTACCAGAAGTACATGGCTCAGTATGCGGACGACTACCAGAAGTACATGCAGGGCAGCGGCTCCAAGGGTGGTGACTATCAGCAGTACATGAAGCAGTACTCCGGTGACTACCAGAAGTACATGCAGGGCGCTGGTTCCCAGGGTGGTGACTATCAGCAGTACATGAAGCAGTACTCCGGTGACTACCAGAAGTACATGCAGGGCGCTGGTTCCCAGGGTGGTGACTATCAGCAGTACATGAAGCAGTACTCCGGTGACTACCAGAAGTACATGCAGGGCGCTGGTTCCCAGGGTGGTGACTATCAGCAGTACATGAAGCAGTACTCCGGTGACTACCAGAAGTACATGCAGGGCGCTGGTTCCCAGGGTGGTGACTATCAGCAGTACATGAAGCAGTACTCCGGTGACTACCAGAAGTACATGCAGGGCGCTGGTTCCCAGGGTGGTGACTATCAGCAGTACATGAAGCAGTACTCCGGTGACTACCAGAAGTACATGCAGGGCGCTGGTTCCCAGGGTGGTGACTATCAGCAGTACATGAAGCAGTACTCCGGTGACTACCAGAAGTACATGCAGGGCGCTGGTTCCCAGGGTGGTGACTATCAGCAGTACATGAAGCAATACTCTGGTGACTACCAGAAGTACATGCAGGGTGCTGGTTCGATGGGCGGTGACTACCAGAAGTACATGGATCAATATGCATCTAAGTACACCAATGGTCAGAAGTCTAAGGAAGTCGCTTGTCTGATTATAATCCCTCTCACTAGGCGGTATGGCCATACTCAAACGTGTCCATTCTTTCAGAGGAAATGGTGAAAGCTGCACACCGCGGTCAGGTCTTACCTACTGTTTTCACCTTATTTCCTAAGATGGATGGTTATGACCAGCTGAACATGTATCTGGGAAACCTGTTTGAGGCATCGCCAGTGCGGACAAGATGATCCATCTGAAGTCAACAAGTTTGAATGTGTTTGAATTGGGGAAGGTTTGGTTATTGTGTCTCTTTCACCTTCACAGGGAATTTGCATAGCCCACCAGCACTTATGGATTTCTTGTGAGTTCTTGTGGATCTTCGGTAAACTGTCTGCCCCTGGCTCCGGGCCCTAGGACCATGCTGCTGCCGACAGTGCTGTGCTGATTGCGGCTGGGTCGGATGTCAAGACCGATTCGGCTGATGAGAAGCATCTGGGCTAGCTGGGATGAGCTGGGATGACCTGGGGCTCACGAACGGGGATGTCGTCAATGGGGGCTTCACTATGATATGATCCCCAAGTTGTGGCCTTGGTATATCCTCCTTGGGATATGGGACACCAGCAGAAAGCTACGGGTCAACTCAGCGGGGAGAAATGCATTGCACCATGGCAGTTGAGCGGCTCCGATCAGAATAAATGTCCCTTCATGGGACCCCAAAATGAACAAATCTGACCCATTTCACCAGAGTTTCTGGGCGATGAATTCTGTGGGTGATGGAGTAAAGACATTTGTTGGTTGAGGTCTTCATGTGTCTCGTTTCCACATGTTTGATGGTTCAATCCCTATTCGCCCTATTCCCTATGTTTGATTGTGAATTCTCATGAAATCTCTATTCTTTGGTACTCAGATTAGATACACAATTTGAGTCGCCCAATGCAGGCAGTTCATGGCCAAGTTCGCCAAGGTGCCCCGTGCAGCCCGAAAGGAATGACCTTTTCGTCAGATGTGGCTTTCTCTGATGAGAAAACTTCAATATCTCATGAATCTCATGGTTCATCATGATTTTCAACCTTATTGAAGTGCCCTAAAAAAAGGAGTATGTTCTGAGTGTTAAATGTCCAATCATAGAAGGTCGTAGCAGACCATTGGAGGCTTAGCGGCCTGACCTCATTCCACAGGACTACGAGCACTACATGGAGGAGCGAGGCAAGAACGTCTCCAAGGTGCGGTGCCAAGATGTCACAGCTGATTAGACCCGGATTAGGCAGGATGTATTGGAAAACTGATGAAAACTGACCATGCTTGCTTGCTTGTGTCCGAAAAAATGGGGACTCCACGTGAACAAAGTAACTAATTGTTGTGGCACACCGATGTTTGCGAGATTTGGTTACTTGGCAGGGTAATCAATTGATTTGCAGCCGCAAAATTGAGAACACCCATATGATGTCATTGCTCCCTTGGTTCGTAAACCCCTTCAACTCTGGCGGTTGGTCAGGAACTGGGATTATAAATCTTTTCACAAAACCAGACCTGGTGACATGGTGCGCAGGACTTCGAAAAGTACATGGAAGAACACGCCAGCAAGTACAAGCACTACTTGGAGGCCCAGTAGAAATCAAGGCAAAACCACAGGTTTGAAATGAGTGTGTCCAAGAATGGGGTATACCTCATTTGATCGTCATGGAAGAAGCAAATCGATGATCATGTGATATTTGTCCCACATCAGTTCATCATCATGTTGCCCATCAAAATTACCAGAAATTGGGTGGTCCCACGTCCCACACTGGGCGAAGCATGGCGATGTTAAGGCCCGAAGCGACAAGGCAGCGGGCGACTTCCAGAAGTACTTCGAGGTGGGGAACATCGGCATCCGCCGTGGCTTATGATCTAATTCCTGTGATGCGAGGTGGAACATGAGGCGATCTTAAAGGCAAATCATGGCACCAAACCGACCACAAGCAACCCTGCCATTGGTCAATGGCTGTGGGTCACTTGCCCAGGTTCCGAGAGCCCAAGAAGAGTGCTAATTAGATGATTGGTTCCACTTGCATTGTCCATCCCTGTAGGAAGTGAGAGCTTGTTTCATTGGTGACAGGACTACCAGAAGTACATGAAGAGCAAGGACTTCAAAGACTTCGTGGACAAGTATGCCAGCGACTATGCCAGCTATCTCAAGGTCGCTTCACCGACGGTTCACCAATCTCGGGGTACCACGCATTGATCTTCACACTGGCGACAATCACGGCGATTTTGAAAATGCTATCATGATACCTGAAATACCTGAAATCGAACACAAAATCCAAAACATATCTAAATCTATCAGCAAAAAATCCTCTGAGATGTTTCCCATTCGGTCCCAGCGCCAGGAACGCGGTCAGGAGTACATGAGCGGGGACAAAAAGGAGGCCAAGGTGCGGCTGAATCAGCTCAGTGAAAAAGCCGGACATTTTGGGGGAAAGTAATTGGGAAACATTGAGGATGTATATGTATTCTATATGACTGTATATGTAACATATAGCATCAGGAAACTAAGCATTTGACATGGGCATTCAACCAAACATGTTAAGTCTGTGTATGGGATGCGGGTCAAAACAATTGAACCTCCCAAATGGATTGTTTTTCCCAAAAGCATCTCCGATGCTTGGGTTCTCGTTTAGTTGCACTCGCCGCGGGGGAGCGAGACTGAGTGGTCGACGGAGATGTGTTGGATGGAAGGAAGGAAGGAAAAGGAAGGAATGAAAAGGAAGGAAGGAAAAGGAAGGAAAAGGAAGGAAGGAAAAGGAAGGAAAAGGAAGGAAAAGGAAGGAAAAGGAAGGAAAAGGAAGGAAAAGGAAGGAAAAGGAAGGAAAAGGAAGGAAAAGGAAGGAAAAGGAAGGAAGGAAAAGGAAGGAAAAGGAAGGAAGGGGAAGGAAAAGGAAGGAAAAGGAAGGAAGGAAAAGGAAGGAAAAGGAAGGAAGGAAAAGGAAGGAAGGAAAAGGAAGGAAGGAAGGGAAGGAAGAAGGAAAGGAAGGGAAGGAAAAGGAAGGAAGGAAAAGGAAGGAAGGAAAAGGAAATTAAGGAAAAGGAAGGAAGGAAAAGGAAGGAAGGGAAGGGAAGGAAGGGAAGGAAGGGAAGGAAGGGAAGGAAGAAGGGAAGGAAGGGAAGGAAGAAGGAAAGGAAGGGAAGGAAGAAGGAAGGAAGGGAAAATAGCTTGGGGAAACTTCGCTGGGACGGAGCGAAGGAAGGGAAGGAAGGGAAGGAAGGGAAGGAAGGGAAGGAAGCCGTGGAAATAGCTTGGGGAAATAGCTTGGGGAAACTTCGCTGGGAGGGAGCGAGACCGGATGCTCGACGGGATGAAGCCGTGGAAATTGGAGGAAATAGCTTGAGGGAAATAGCTTGGGGAAACTGCGCTGTGAGGGAGCGAGACCGGATGCTCGACGGGATGAAGCCGTGGAAATAGCTTGGGGAAATAGCTTGGGGAAACTTCGCTGGGGGAGCGAGACCGGATGCTCGACGGGATGAAGCCGTGGAAATAGCTTGGGAAAACTGCGCTGGGAGGGAGCGAGACCGGATGCTCGACGGGATGAAGCCGTGGAAATAGCTGGGGGAAACTTCGCTGGGAGGGAGCGAGACCGGATGCTCGATGGGATGAAGCTGTGGAAATAGCTTGGGGAAACTGCGCTGGGAGGGAGCGAGACCGGATGCTCGACGGGATGAAGCCGTGGAAATAGCTTGGGGAAACTTCGCTGGGAGGGAGCGAGACCGGATGCTCGACGGGGATGAAGCCGTGGAAATAGCTTGGGGAAACTGTGCCGGGAGGGAGCGAGACC